TAGTGAATTTTTATTTATTAAGTTATATGTAAATTACGGAAAAATGTTATATATATAATTCTTATTTATTTATAAACTCTTACAAATTATACTATATATTACTAGTAAGACACTCTAGAATGAAACTTTACTAGTAGCATATAATGTAGTTTGTAAGTTTATATAAAATTTTTTTTTGTCAATATAATCTTCTTCGTAAATTATACTATAAATCTTTATTGAGGCTTAATATGTTTTAACCTTAAAATTACACAACCTCTCATCTCTTAAATACTTTGTTAAAAAAGAGAGTAGAGATATACTTTAAGGGAAGGGTTATTCTTATTACTACAAAAATTTATCACTCTTATAACCAACTTAATCACTGTTGAATCAGAACTAAATCTAATGACTTACAATCAATCTTTATAATCCTATTTTTTACTCTTTCATTTTCTCTTATCTTCACCTTCTCTCTAGGCTTGAGAACTCTCTTTCGACCCTTTCTCTTCTCCCATCAAAATTCATTCCAGTGGTCATTGATCGTTTTCGTTGATTTCCACCATCTCATCTTATTCGCAAGATTGTGGGGTTGACGCCAAAAAAATTGAATTTGAAATGCAAGTAATGATTTTTATTTTGGTTTATATGCTTCTTATAATGCCCCTAACCCGTTTAATTAAAAAAAGCATATGATTAAATATTTAATCATGCATAAATGGGTTAAATTAAGTAAAAGACTTAATTAAATAAATTAGGATTACTTTTGATGTAAAAAGTACAGTCAGTGAGATTTCTGAGGTAAAAATGGGTGTAGGAAAAATGACTAGGAATGCAAAAATATAATTGCATAATTTATGAATGATTATATGTAATTGAAATTGTGAGTGGAGGGTAAAAAAATTGAAAGTATAAAAAATCCCCTTGGAGCACCACACCAAGTTCGGCCATATTGGGTATTTAGGGGTTAATGTGCCAAAATAATTAAATTAAATAATTGTGAAAGTTTATATGTATGTGTATGTTGAGATTTAGGTATTAAAGTGAGAATACCAAGTGGAAAATCCATTGGAAACCCTCCTTATGAATTTCAATCACTAGGGTCTTATTAGGGATGATTATGTTAAAAATTATTTTGATGATGTGGTTAGGTCCTAATGCATGGCTTTAGTACGATTTTGAAGTTAAATGGTTTAAGACATAATGAGAAGCACCTTAGCTCCTTTGTATGTTTTGCAACGGCCTTGTGAACAAAAATAGACAAAGTTAGGCTTAAAATTGTTATGAAAATATATGAATAATTACGGACTAAGTGTGGATTCTAGGAACTATTGGTTGTGTCAACTATTTGATTTAAATCCCTAGCTTTTGCTTGTTGTGGTTACGGCCATGTAGGCTTTGTGGGGGGCTAGGAATTGTTAAAAATTATAAATGGTATTTTAGAAGCTTGGTTGGGTTATTTTAGGATCCTATGTGAGTAGGAAACCATGAGGGTGCTTGTGGTACATGTAATCATCCTGAAAATGGTCTAATAAAGAAATTGAGAAATTATGGTATTGACTTGTGTATTGGCATAAATTTGGCAAAAGTGTAAAAAATGAAAGTAAGCAATAAAATGTATGCCTCGTTTAGATTTCATGGCATTGTAGCATTTTATTGATTTTGTTTTGAATTCTTTCTCTAGGTGTGCCTAGGGACAGAGAGGGTTTGAATTGCCTTTGGAGCTAAATAGGTAACTTGTATTACAAGTGAGCAGATTGGTAAAGTTTCAAGAGGTAAGCTCTATGTTTAAGAAGTCTTTTCCTGCTTGAGTGCTCCACCATGGTTAGTGAACTATGGTTGGATTGTATGATTGTTTTTGATGCTTTGTATAGATGCATTCATATAAAGATATTTGATAATATGATATGATTTATTCTGATGTGATTTCTGTATTGATCTTTGGCCATTGATTGTATTGTACTCTAATGTCCGCTTGGGGTCTTCCCTCGGGACTGACGATGTACGCCTTTGATATGTCTGGTTTCGCTTGGGGTCCTCCCTTGGGAACACGTACGTTGATTTTCGCTTGGGGTCCTCCCTTGGGAATGATTACGTACGCCTCTGATAAGATATGTATATATGTATTTATTTAGTGATGATATCTGTTATATGTTGCTTTGTATACTCTGTATCTGACTCTCATGCAGGAGTGGGCCCAAGGGTATGAAGAATTCTCTATAAACCTAGAGCTTATTGAGATTTGTTATCTCACCCCTTTGTGGGGACATCATTTCAGGTTCTCAGATTCCCGGTGAGCCCTCACGAGGCAGGGACACGACCCGTGGGTAGAGGTGCCGCGACAGACTGGATTTTGAGTAGCTGTAGGCTACTGCCAATTTGGAGTGTATTTATGTTGTCTCGTATTCCATTATTTTGTGGATCATGATGTCAGATTCTTTATTTTGTATATGGCCTGTATATGATTAGTACATGTTTTCTGTTTTGATGCATGTACAATTATGTATTTAGGCATGTTTATATTACGATGTAGTATTCAGTTATATGCTTACCTGTTGGATTTGTGTGCTGTTAGACATAGTGGCACGGAGCCAAGTTATGCATGCGCCCTTGGATGGATATATAGTCCTATATAGATATCTGGTATTCTGAAATCATATATGGTATAAACTGTTTATCAGGAACCCTTGAGAGTGAGATTGGCAAATCTCCAGTTGTCCAATTTACAGAGATTACTTTGCCTGATTTTCGTCTTCGTCAAATAAGAATTAAATTAGGAGAAGTATACAATGTGAGATATCATGTGAAAAAGAATTAAAGAAAAAGAAAAAGTTAGCTCGTAATTTCGTAAGTTAAGTCTTCTGCTGTTTCTGTTAAGTATCATATGTATATTAATTGAATCGGCTCGAGACGGAGATGTTACACTTCTACATTAATGAAGAGTTGTCTTATGGCATGATTATTGTGCATTTCAGGCATAATGAATCAATCCTTAAAAGCTACCTATAAATATCATGAATTGATTTTGTTGGCCTAATGATGCTAGAGATGCTTATCCTGTTGATTCACGAGTGAAAAGCATGGAAAAGACGAATTTTTCTAATAAGGAAATAGAAAATGAGAATAAACCTGCAATTTTAATAGAATGAGAGAGACAAATTTACAAGTCTATCATGTGCAATTGGAAGACCTAAAGAGAGAATGGAGAGAGGGTTGTTAGACCTAGAGAGAAGATGAATGTGAGAGAAAATAAAAAGGTAAAAAATTAGGATTATAAAGATTGATTGTGAGCCATTAGATTTATTTTTGATCGAATAATGATTAAATTAATTATAAAGGTGATAAATTTTTATAGTAGTAAGTATAACCCTTCTCGTACTTCAAACACATTAGCTAACATAAAAAATAGGACAAAATCATTTTATCTTCATGAAATATAGACCTTTCTTAACATAAACCTTGATGCTTAGTTTTCATTGAAAATGTTACCAAGTTAGATTGAAAGGAATATAAGACACGTGCATATCATGTAACATTATCATTATAAAAATGGAAGTTATTTTTTTTTAATCATGAACTCCATTTAAGTTTCTCTATTTATCACTTAGCATCTTTATATTTGATTTAAAATGTTTTGAATTTTCAATTGATTTAATTGAAAAAGTAACACTTTCACTTAAAACTAAATTATATGGACAATAAGTGAAAAATAAAATCTGGGAAATAAGATGAGAAGGGCTATATATACTTCAAAGTGATAAAATGTATTCAGCCTATAAAATATCGTTTGGGTTTATTTATTTATTAAATGAATGGATAAATATAAATATGTTAAACTTATTAACCTATACGTGAGATCAGCTTAAAAATTTAAAGCCTTATTTGCTTAATTCACAAACATCTCGTTTAAAAATAATAAATTAGGTTCATTTAATTATGTGAGTTGAGTTTCACAATTTAAAAACTAACTTACTAACTAAGTTAAAAATAAATTAGGTTGACTAAATTATGCAATTACGTCTTACAATAGAGAACTAATGATTGATATCTTCTATTATAATTTTCTCTATTACATTTTTAAAAAAAGAAGAAGTTATATTTACGATCTATTGTTATTGGATCAAAATTAAAACAATAGCTCTCACTTTATACCAATTTATAACTATTAATTTAATTTTGATCCAACGAAAATAAAAATAATTGTAAGAAAAAATAATTTGTAAGTATAACCTCTCATTTTTAAACATTGTGTAAATATAATGTATACAAATCCCTTAACTTTTGAATATAATAGTAAATGAGGATTTTATTCTTATAAGTTTACATGTTTTAAAGGTTTAATTGGTTGTTTTTAATTTGAAGCATGAGGTTTACGTAATCCTAACTAAGTGTGGGATATCAGTGAGAGGATTTTATAATTTGTGTAAGTTCAAAAGTCGGGCTTACCATAACACCATTGAAGAAACAAAAAAGATTTGAAAAGTTCTTGTGTAAATTATCCAATAAAATGATATATATGTTTGAATATGTTGTTTATAATATATTTATTTTTCATTTATTTTTTTTGTGTTTGGATTAATTTATGTGTAACCAGACGCCGCCTATGTGGACTATCTTGTGTTACTTGAAAATTCCGTTGGAACCAAAATGCGTAATATGATTGGTCAACTCTGAACTATGTTTTTTTCGAATGCCATCTAGAACTAGAATCTGCCCTACCTATCACAAATACAGCGTGTATATATATAACCAGTTCATCCGATTAATTTGGTTGGAAGCACTATTTTATTTATTTTTTAATATTGCATTAACTGTGCAAAAATAATTTTAGCATAATCATTACCTTCTTGTTCTATAATTCTATTTGCCCTTGTTCATGCATAGTTGACTTTCCCTTAATGTTTGCAACTACATAGCCAACCCCAAGACATGGATTAGCTGTACAAATAATCAGAAGTCAAAATAAGTTAAGAACCTTCTTCACATTATTGAAAACTTAAAACACCAATCAAAATAATATCTGGGATATGAAGAAGTCTAATGGTCCTCCATGGCTCCATCCGATTTGAGGAACAACTCTTGTCTTACCACTGCAACATGAGAGGTTCTACAATCTTCCATATATTCTTTTTTTTTACCTTCGCTTTTCTCGCATTCTTTTTCATTACTGTACTCTCCGTTGATACCTTAACTGCAACCCAATCTCTTGGAATTAACCAAACCCTTGTGTCTCCCGAGGAGGTGTTTGAGTTTGGATTCTTTAATGAAAGCAGTTCCAGATGGTACTTAGGTACATGGTACAAGGATATTCCTGATAAAATAGTGGTTTGGGTGGCAAACAGAGACACCCCACTTGAAAATTCCAAAGTAACTCTCAAGATTGGAGACAGAGGAAACCTGGTTCTTCTTAATCAAACAGGTTACTCCATATGGTCATCGAATCAAACCACTGCCACAAACCCAGTTCTTAGGCTTTTGGATAGTGGGAATTTGATTCTCATAGAAGCAAACGAGAAAAATACCAACAACTATCTATGGCAGAGCTTTGATTATCCAACAGATACTTTGTTACCAGGCATGAAGCTAGGTTGGAACCTTGACACTGGCGTGGAGCACCGTATAACATCATGGAAAAGCCAAGATGATCCATCAAGTGGAGATGCTTATTTCAGTCTAGAATACCATGGGATCCCTGAGGTTTTCTTATGGAACAAAAAGGAAAGGGTCTTTCGAACTGGACCATGGAATGGTGAGGTGTTTGGTGGAGTACCAATACTAAACACAATTGCTGTTCTTAATGATAGAGTTGTTGCTAATGAACATGAGGTGTATTACATCCCTTCAACGCTTAATCAATCTCGTTTATCCAGACTTGTTGTGAATTGGACGGGTCAAATTCAACGCTATGCATGGATAGAAAGTAGTCAAAGTTGGAGCAAAGTATGGTTTGCACCTGCTGGCGATTGTGATCATTATGGAGCTTGTGGTCCATTTGGTATATGTGACTCAAATGCTTTCCCTGTATGCAAGTGTATTGAAGGGTTCAATATCAAGAATCAGCAGCAATGGGATTTGAGAAATTTTTCTGATGGGTGTGCCAGGAAGACAAAATTGGAATGTGGGAATGACAAGTTTTTGCACAAGATGAACGTGCAGTTGCCAGATACAACATCGGTGTTTCTGGATAAGAACATGACAATATCAGAATGTAAAAATATGTGCCTGAAAGATTGTTCTTGCACTGCCTATGCTAATGCAGAGGTTACTAATGGTGGGACTGGTTGCGTGATGTGGAATGATACTCTCTTGGACGTGAGGCAATTTTCTGAAAGTGGCCAAGATCTATTCGTCAGATTAGCAGCTTCTGATGTAGGCAAGTTTCTTTCATGTTTTATTATTCCCTTAAAGACTAGTTTTCTTATTTATGGGTTTTAGTTTTCTACTCAGCATTGTTTTTTGCTACTAGATTAAGGGGTAAGAACTTCGGCTAATCCTGAAGTGATTTCGTTTGATTGAAGGTATAGCTACCTTGCTTGATATCTTAATGTCAGCAAATTGTATTCAATACTTGGCTAAGATATATACGTTTGATTAGGAAGAAACCTACACTTAGGTCAAATTTAATGCAAATGTCTATACTAAAAGCTCTTTTTCTTATCAGATGACAGCGGGACAGGATTTGTTGGTGGGTCTGGCAAGAAAAAGAATGTAGGAAAGATTGCAGGCCTTGTAGTTACTGTAGCTATCGTAATTTTGGGAGTGAGTATATTCATTTTGTGGAAGAAGAGGAAATTGCATAGTATATCACAAGGGAACACGGAACAGAATGGTAATACACTATTAATGACCATCATCAAATGTGGATACTAAATTTTCCTTACCATGCTACTTAATGTGTTCTTCTCTCCTTATTCTCTAAATTAGGTGATCCTTGCTGCTTCATATAATGTTTTAATTGTTCTCTCTAAACCAGTTAATTTTGATAGAGGCCAGACAACGCTATCACCTGTGGCAATTTTTTCAAATAACATAGAACATTCAGATGAAAGGAACATGGATGACCTGGAGTTGCCATTGGTTGATTTTAATACCATAACAATGGCCACAAACTTCTTCTCTTCAGCGAATAAGCTTGGAGAAGGAGGCTTTGGAAGTGTTTACAGGGTAAATTTCTTTTTATTCAAAATACTACTATCATTGAATCTGTCACAAAGCACCCATTAACACCTAACACTGACACAACTAAATGTGGCAACCGCAGGGTAGGTTGGCTGATGGCCAAGAAATTGCTGTGAAAAGGTTATCGACAAGCTCTGGACAAGGAAGTCAAGAATTCAAGAATGAGGTCAGATCAATTGCAAAGCTTCAACATCGAAATCTTGTAAGACTGTTAGGTTGCTGCACTGAGAAGGATGAGAAGATGTTGATCTATGAGTACATGGAAAATAACAGCCTAGATTCTGTTTTATTTGGTGAGTTATTTTAACATTATGCAGTATGCACCTTCCAACTTATCAATGCTCCTTTCCAAAGTCTGGCTGATTGTTGTTAAAAAAATTGGATTCAAATTGTTGAATTTATGATAACGAATCAAAAACATTTTCCAGACAAATCAAAGAGTTCCTTGCTACACTGGCCAATGCGCTTCTACATTATATGTGGCATAGCCAAAGGGCTTCTTTATCTCCATCATGACTCCAGACTTAAAATTATCCATAGGGATCTCAAGGCAAGCAATATTCTTCTCGATAGAGAAATGAATCCAAAGATTTCAGATTTTGGGATTGCTAGAATTTTTGAGAGTGATCAAACTCAAGCGAATACAAAGAGAGTTGTTGGAACATAGTGAGTAGTACTATCTTAACCTCTAAATTTTGCTTAAAATACCATGCACAATGACCTCATTATTAATATATCCTTCTGATATGCAGTGGCTACATGTCACCTGAATACGCAATGGGTGGATTCTTTTCAGTGAAATCTGATGTTTTTAGTTTCGGGGTTCTAGTTCTAGAGATCATAAGTGGCAAGAAGAACAGAGGATTTTATTCCTCAGATGACCTAAATCTTCTTGGATATGTAAGTGAAAAAGCTAAGTTTACTAGAATGGTGATCATTTATTAACACTAATGGAAATTTTATTGTGCATTGTGATAGGCATGGAGACTCTGGAAAGAAGGGAGTGCATTGGAACTCATAGAATCATCATTTGCTGATTCATATTCAGTATCTGAAGTTCTAAGATGCATACATGTTGGCCTCATATGTGTCCAAGAACGAGCAGAAGATAGGCCAACAATGTCTTCTGTGGTCTTGATGTTGAATAGCGAAACTGCATCAATGCCACAGCCTAAACACCCTGGTTTCGTCCTTGGAAGGAGTCCCAGTGAAACTCATTCTTCTTCAGTTAATCAAGTCACAGTTACAGTGGTAGATGGCAGGTAGGTAATTTAGTCTGGCATAATCAGGCACATACATTTAAGTATCAAATTTTATATTTTTATTGATTTTGAATTGTACTAACCATTGATATTGAAATGTATATAAATACACAAGGTTAGTTCCAAATTGAGAATCTTTATTATGCATCTCAAAAGTGCTAATGCTTATATTCAGTAATTTGTTATGCATCTCAGTAGTCCTGTACTCTCAATACTCCGGAAAGCTTGGAATGAAAGACAAAACAATCCTAATGAAAGCTCACATGCTCAATAAGTGCATGCAAAAGCAATGTCATTAACGATTAACATGGCTTAATTATCAATAAATATGGCAGACAACATACATATAACACATTAAAAAAAGGGAAACAATGATATAATTATAATATCCTATCGTGAATTACTTGCAAGTAGCTAGTACAGCAGATTGAATATACCATGTCTACAGCAACACCAACGTGTTTGAGCATGCGCGTAAGTTGTACTTCATAGCTGAGAATGATATCCTGCAAGAGATTAACCATCTTCAACTAGCCACCCAAAGGCTTCATGTTCAGACCAAACAATATATATACATTATGTATATGATATGACCCCACCTTTCAAGCAAGAGAAATAAGTGGGCTGGAGAATCATGCTGAGTCAGCAAGTTTGTTAACAAAGAATATTCTAGAGAAAGCTAAACAGAAAACAGTTAGGGGCTTGGACATTGGCTGGAAATTCATAGTATAAATAGGAGTATGAAGGGAAAGTCTTGGTATCTGGAATCTATGGGAACTATTGGGATCCTTTTGGATATTGGGAGAGATCAACACCTCTCGAATGTGTTGAGCTTAATTTTCCTCTTTTATCGTAACTGTAGTCAATAGTAGAATTTGCCTTGTAATGGAGTTGATTATCTGTTGTTGTTGTTCTTCTTTCATTTTTGGATTGTAATTTCCTTTCCATATAATATAGAAAATCCAGAAAGTGTTCTTTCTGGGCCAAAATCGTTGTTCTTCTTTTCTATTTTTGTTTTTCTCTGATCCGATTCCTATCAGTATAACATCCTCGTCTCGAGCTGGTTAGTAAATATACATATGGTACTAAAGCACAACGTAATTTAAATGCATAAGCAAAAGTCTTACTTTTAAATTCTACCGTTAACCTATGTGACTTAATGAACAATTTGTTTTTCTTTTTTTTTCCTGATGTATTTTTCCATACTTAATCTTGTTGTACCGTTCCATACCAATACATAGTTCTTCTTATTAACTTCTCAATCCCTAACCATAAGCAATGGTCAATGACCATCAGGGTATGAGAACAAGTACCAACCCTGACAGAGTCAAATAGACATCTCCTCTCTAAACTGGACAAACTAGGAAATTAAACCCCACACAGTAATCATATCCTGCCCATCAGAAAAGTCCGGCACAATTTATACATATACAGATAGTCCCTACAAGGACATAGGACCCATCCATGGGCTCAATCACTATTGGCTCCGTGCCACTACGCATCTTATCATCTACGCATCTAACTAAATAAATACATACATATATGCCTGAGATGTCAAATGTACATACATCAAGTATGAATAAATCTCTCAAAAGATACAAGCCATATACAAAATGATTGGTCATACATCATGACCCCAAAAGAATAAACTACAGTCTCCAAAAAGAAAGACTATAATATTAAATCCATCTGCTCCTCTAGCCCTGGGCAGGCTCCTCAGCCCTAGAGGGCTCTCCAACTGTCGGTACACCCGAAACATGTCCTCAAATGAGGGGAGATAAACTATCTCAATAAGCTCAGGGTTTATGGAGCAGTCTCCACCCATAAGCCCACTTGCTGCATGAAGGGTTAGATACAAAGCATAGTATAACATCATATACATATCATATTCACATAAGACTTCCAAGAGCTTGAGTCCTCTAGTGGAAGTCTTAACAGAACCTTATGAGGGCTTGGGTCCCCCTGAAAGATCCCACATGATAATCCGAAGGCTTGAGTCCCTAAGGATCTCATGCATTGAGGCTTGAGTCCCTCCGCATGATATACTCTCATAGGCTTGAGTCCCTCAATGAAAGCGTATACATGACATTGTTCATTGGTTATGAACCACAAAGCAAACACATCATCTTACATATTTGTCTACATGAATGCATTTATACTAGGTATCTAACATTAAATCACACAATCATCCATACCATAGCCCCATTGGACCATGGTGGAACATACAAGGAAGGAGAAAGTTTCTTAAACATAAGCTTACCTCTTGAAGATTACACAAATTGCTTAGTTGTAACGCAAGAAAGCTAAGTACCTCCCTCCAATGCTTGATCCTCCAACACAATATCTATAGGCACAAACCTAGGGTAAGAATCAAAACCAACTTGTCATTATATAGGTCATATGTCAAGCATTACATACAAGACATCAACACTATAATGATTCCTTAATTAACATATATGACATTCCAATTGGTTAAATTCCATTTCATCTTTGTCACACCCTTACTTCACATATTATTATGCCAATTATATGCCAAACAATAAGCCATTGCTAATTATTCCATAACTTAACAAATAGGACCCTATAATGTGATTTCTTGTTGGACAAGCAACCACTTGGTTCCACACACTCACTTACCCTAAGAATGGTACAAGAGTACCTCCTAGATATTTCTTAACAATTAATTAAGCTTCCGATCCTAAATGGCCCATATGGCCGAACCATACCCCTTAAGGGTACCACACACTCACATGCCCTCAATGTTACAAACTAAGTCATTTGATACCAATTCACTCAAGGACCAAGAACTAGTCTCTATGCCAAGTTATACACTTCACTTGTTCCACAAGTTATTGTCAACTTGGTGACCTAAAGGTCCATTAAGGATTCCAACGATTCAAATATCTCATTAGCAAGTTTAATTACTCAAAGCTAGCCTAGTTGTCATACTTATCATTCAAATAACCCTAAAACACAACCATATCTCAATTCTTCCCTTTGAAGGCCGAAGCACACATACAAGGGTCATAGGGTTTTCATGTTTTCCAATGACTAATTAATGAGTCTAAACACCTTAACTAGGCTCACAAGTCACACATCATGAACATTATCTAATTAAACACACTTCCTCACCTCTTTTCCCACACACATTGCCTACATGGTGTTTTAAGCCATTTTCACACTTTTACATATTCAACAACTAACCAAATAAATCCAGTAATCCCAGTAACATCTAGGATATGTTCACCATCATTTAAATAATTCAAATCACAATTCCAACACACGTTTTCAAGTGAGGGTCAAAATACATAGGGTGAAGTTCATAGGGTTTACCAAACTTTCTTACTTTCAACACTAGTTTATGGTTCATTCCACACCTCAAACATCAATAGACATCTTACAACATCAAAGCATACAACCATTTATAAATTTTCCATATCAATACTTCACATTTCAATATGTTATTTTCGGTCCAAATATGAAAGATACCAAAATGATTATTTAAACCACTTTTCACCAATCATTTTATCTCATAAGCATATTTTCTCAAATTAGCCGTGTCCAAATCAAACTCTACTACTAACATCTCATATAAATTTTTTCATGAAAACCCGAAGTTCATCCACAAGTATTCAAGCAATTAAAATAGGATTTCATACCTTAAATGAGTTCCTAGGCACCTAAGCTTCCATCTCTAAGCTTGAAACCATCAAAATACACTCTCCTTAATTTCGCATGAACAGTACCCGCGGGTTTAGAGGGCTGAAATCTCCTTCCCAAGAGCTTCCCAAGTGAACTATCTTATAGGTTTTGTTCATGAGGTCAAGGGCTACAAGTTTGGTGAAGGTCACTTGGCTTGAAAGTGCCCAAATCAAGAAGCAAAAATTTGTGTGTGTGTGTGTGAGAGAGAGAGAGAGGTCGCTGTTTTCCACAGGGGAGAGGGAAGAGGAGAGTGAACAGTGAGGTTTTTAAAATATTTATATTGACTTTTACCTACTAACTTATGAAAATTGCTATTAATTCTTAGGTTTACACTCATTAAAATCTTAATTTTTTACTAAAAAAAACTTAATTTTTCTTACTTAATCCAATTTAAATAATTTTATTTCCATGATAATAAATTTTGTAAAGAATTATAATAGTACATCACAATTGAATTTAGGTCAATTTTTATATAATTACAATTTGGTCTTTAAATTTTACAAAAGTTATAATTTGATCCTAAATAATTCTAATAATTATTTTCATGGTTGTAATTTGTAAATGACTTGTTTAATGTATATTTAATTTTTTATAATAATAATTTTATTTTTTGAGTTTTTCGATAAAATTATACAGTAAAATTTTATCCGATAAAATTTACTATTTATATTTTTTTCCAAAAAAAATTCAAAATTCGTAAAATTGAATTAAGGATAAAATTTACTATTTATATTTTTTTCCAAAAAAAAATCAAAATTCATAAAATTATATTCTTAATTCAATTTACCATTTTTATTATCAAAACAATTTTTGATTATTTATTTTTCTTGTTAGGGTTATTATATTAAGTTCCTGAAGTAAACTCTTTTTCTATATTTTAATTCAATTTGTTCCACCCTCCGCTGTTTCAGTTCACCACATGAAAGGTGGATAACAAATCAATGGAAGCATTTGATCAAAACATATTTAAAGAACAAATTCATCTTACGCAATACTTCACCAAAATGTTACTCTTCATCAAGTTTTTTACCTAAATGGCACGTGAACAATGTTATTTTTCAATCTGCCATAGGGGTAAGTTCGCTACCCGGTGTAGCGAACTCTGTTTGCTGACGTGTCACGTTTTTAGTGGACATCAAGTTCGCTACACGGGGTAACAAACTTGATTTTAACCAAGTTCGCTACCCAATGTAGCAAACTCCTAATTTTTATTATTTTTTTATTTTTAATTTGGTACTTGTTATTCACTATAAATGTGACACGTCAGCAAACCGAAGATAGCGAACTTGCCCCCCCGTAACAGATTAGGAAATAACACTGTTCGCATGACATTTAGATAAAAACCTTAATAAAGAGTGATATTTTGATCAGTGTTCCCCTTCCTGGGCACTGGCTTACAAGGAATCAAGGATGTCTGAATATTTCATATCTCCGTTGGTTAGATCTCAATCTGCTAGTTCCACCCATTCGCTTTCCTATGATAACAAGTTCAGAGATTGACGTGTTGGGGAACACATTGGAAAAGGATGATTTATCTACAGTATACACGTCCTTGAAATTTCTATAAGAAGGTATCCATGTTCTAATGACTCATCATCCGTCCAATTGGAAATAATATATAATGTAGAAGTCCCAATGGTCCTCGAACATTAAGTAAATTAATTGACAAAATTGCTATCATGGTCAGCATTCGACCCAGTTTCTCCTCGTGCCTTCTAGAATCTGGTCCCGAGCCACCTAAACAAAAAAGAAAAGAAAAGAAAGATTAGTGTTAAAAATGAACTATTATTTCCTTCATTAACGGCACAATTTGGCATTATTATTACGGAAATGATGCTCTACTGCCGTAGGAGAGCACAATTGTTTTCTACACAAATTTATTTTTTGTGTCAATTAATTTTTTTTTCTTTTATAATGTATAATGTGAGATTCATATTTAATTTATCTTTATTTTTTTCTCTCATGCATCCTATAACATAAGAAAATATTTATTATTAAACCCTTTTTATTAAATTGTCTCTTGACACCATCACTGGCAGTCAGGCACTGCGTAGATGACTTTGAATTGAGATTTTTTTTTTCCTTTTTTTTTTTTCTTGTAAGTAGAAGTTAAGTCAAATAAATTTTTATAAAAGTTTATATAACAAATGAGTTTTTTTTTTTATAATGTAGAAAAAAATCAAACACCAAAAGCTCCTGCTAAAAGTTTTTTTTTTTTGTTTAAGTTGTATTAACTTTTTTTGAAATATATATTTTTTTTAAATGAATAACTTTTAAGTTAAAAATGTTATATAATCATTAAATAACTTCTAACTTTATTCTCAGGAGGCATTTGGTATAAGAAAAAAAAAATTATTCCTGAAAATTATAATTCTTAGAAATATGATTGGAAAATAAATTTATTAGAAATGTGACTAAAAAACTGTTTGGTATGTTATTGGCTAAAGTTTAATAATTATATATTACTGGAAATGTGACACCTTCATTATTTTTCTTTTGCATGAATAAACATGCACCGGGAACACAAACAGAATCCTCTACTTTGCTGCAGCCAAAAAAATTGAAAAGAGCATAATTCACACATATATTTGCAATCAATGGTATTCTAGATTGAGAGAAGTGTGTGAAAATTAGAATTCTGGAAGTATAATTTTCTATAAAAGAATATTTTGCATTTCCTTATACCGAATATGGGAAAATCAGATTGCCAAAAGTAGTTTTTAGCTAGAAAAAAAAAATTGCAAAACAAGCTCCAGGTATGGATTTCTTGTTTAAATGAGATGTATAATGCTTACTGATACATAGCCAACCCAAAGAGTTCGGCGAGTTTTAGTAGTCAATAGTCTACGATTACATTTCATTTGTTAACATTTGATAAAAAAATTTAATATAAATGAAAATTAGACACATAACTTAATACAAATTATCTAAAAAATTTAACACTAAACAAAACCTAGTTGCTTAACGTTTAATAAATTAATTCTTCAAAAACACACTAAATTCAAAAGGAGTCATTTTAACTTTCATGAAATTAAAAAGAAAAGAAAAATAACAAAGACTTGTAGAACTAGGAAAATTTCAGGCGAGTCAACCTAAATATATAAAAAAACTTGGTCATTAAGAAGCCTAATCTAATTCTTCATCTGCTTTGAGGAACAATTCTTGCCTTAGCACTGCAACATGAGAGGTTCTATTAACCTCCATATCTACTTCTTTTGGAGCTTCACTTTATTCAGTTTCTTTTCCAATATTGTAACATCTGTGAATACCTTAACTGCAATCCAATCTCTTGAAATTAACCAAACCCTTGTATCTCCCAATCAAGTGTTTGAGTTTGGCTTCTTTAGACCAAGCACCTCTAGATGGTACTTGGGTATATGGTACAAGGACATTCCTGAGAGAATAGTGGTTTGGGTTGCAAACAGAGACACCCCACTTGAAAATTCCAATGGAACTCTCAAGATTGGAGACAATGGAGACCTTGTTCTTCTCAATCAAACAGGTAAATCCATATGGTCATCAAATGAAACCACTGCTACTAACCCAGTTATTCAGATTTTGGATAGTGGGAATTTGATTCTAATAGAAGCAAACGAGAAAAACACAAGCAACTATCTGTGGCAGAGCTTTGATTATCCCACAGATACTTTGTTACCAGGTATGAAGCTAGGTAGGAACCTGGAAACTGGCATGGAGCACCGTTTAACATCATGGAAAAGCCTTGATGATCCATCAAGTGGAGATTTTTCCTACAGGATGGAATATCACGGGCTTCCTGAATTTTTCTTAAGGAACAAACAGATCAAGGAATATCGAAGTGGGCCATGGAATGGTTTGATATTCAGCGCATTACCAGTTCTGAGCTCAAATTTTATTCTTCAAGATAACATGTCTTTCGATGCAACGGAAGTATACTACTTCATTTCAAAGGTCAATAATTCAAAGCATACTAGACTTGCAATGAACTGGACAGGTGAAATCCAACGCCATGTATGGGTAGAAAGCAGCCAAAGTTGGAACAAATTATGGTATGCACCTAATGATGAATGTGACAAATATGTTAGGTGTGGTCCATTTGGTATCTGTGATTCAAGTGCTTTCCCGGTATGCAGCTGTATTCAAGGGTTCCATGCAAAAAATCAGGTGGAATGGAATTTGAGAGACTTTTCTGAGGGGTGTGTGAGAAACACAGGACTGGATTGTGGGAAGGACAAGTTTCTGCGTGTGCAGCATGTGGAACTACCAGAAACAACGATAGTTTTTGTGAACATGAGCATGACACTTAATGATTGTGAAGATATGTGCATGAAAAATTGTTCTTGCACTGCTTTTGCAAACGTGGAGATTACTAATGGAGGGACTGGTTGTGTAATGTGGACTGATGAGCTCTTAGACATGAGGCAGTTTGCTGCTGGTGGCCAAGATCTTTATGTCAGATTAGCAGCTTCTGATGTTGTAGGCAAGTTTCATTAATGTTTTTATTCCCTTATTGACTAGTTTATACTTCATATTTTTGGGTTTTAAGTTTCCTACTTTCCTTTTGGTATTGTTGTTGGTGACTAAACTAAGTAGTAAAATATTTGCTATAGATGTGATTGAGTATAATGTCCACAAATTGTGTTCTGTAATTGGTAATAACTCTACACTAGGCCAAATGTCAAGTAAATATCTCTAATTAAAGTTTCTCTCTCTCTCTCTCTATCTCTCTCAGATGAAGATCACACAGGATCTGCTGGTAGCTCTGACAAGAAAAATAATGTAGGTAGGGTTGTCGGCATTACAGTTACTACAGCTACTGTGATTTTGGGAGTGAGCATGTATTGTTTATGGAAGAGGAGAAAATTGCAAAGTATTTGGAAATGGAAAACCATACAGAAAGGTATTACAAAATTAAAGTCCATCATTAGGTACTGATGTGATATGTTCCTTCTTGTTCTGATTCATATAATGTTTTCCTTGAACCAGAAGCTTTTGATAGAAATCAGCATCCTGAGGTAACATTTAGAGATCCCTCAGGTGAAAGGAATATGGATGACCTGGAGTTGCCCTTGTTTGATTTCAATACCATAACAATGGCTACAAACAACTTCTCAGAAGCAAATGAACTCGGACAAGGAGGTTTTGGCTGTGTTTATAGGGTAAATTTTTTAATCATTGTTTTTAGTACAGTATTATTTATATTGCTGTCATTGTATATTCTCAAAATCTAAAAGAAGCTATTACACACTTAACACTTACACAAGTAAATGTGGCAATAACAGGGTAGGTTAGTTGATGGTCAAGAGATAGCTGTGAAAAGGTTATCAAAAACCTCTGGGCAAGGAATAGAAGAATTCAAGAATGAGGTCAAGTCAATTGCAAAGCTTCAACATAGAAATCTTGTACGACTGTTTGGTTGTTGCGTTGAGAAGGATGAGCAGATGTTGGTCTACGAATACATGGAAAATAACAGCCTAGACTCTATTTTATTTGGTGAGTTATTATTTTCTTTCTGGCTCTGCACCTTCAAACTTAAAAATGCCTTCGTGCCAAACATATATGGCTGATACTGGACTATGATTTATATTTAAATAATTGATATTTATCAGAACTATTGAAAAACTATTCCAGACAAAGCCAAATGCTCCTTACTAGATTGGCAAATACGCTTCAACATTATATGTGGAATAGCTAGAGGGCTTCTTTATCTCCACCAAGATTCCAGGCTTAGAATTATCCACAGGGATCTCAAGGGAAGCAATGTTCTACTTGATAGAGAAATGAACCCAAAGATATCAGATTTTGGGATGGCTAGAATTTTCGGCAGTGATCAAACACAAGCAAATACAAGGAGAGTTGTTGGAACATAGTGAGTACCATACTAACACCTTAATATTCTTTAAGATGCCATGCCTGATGACCTCATTGTTTATATATCCTTATATATATGCAGTGGCTATATGTCACCTGAATATGCAATGGACGGGCTCTTTTCAGTGAAATCTGATGTTTTCAGTTTTGGAGTTCTGGTGCTAGAGATCATAAGTGGCAAAAAGAATAGAGGATTTTATTTATCAGAAGAGTCAAATCTTCTTGGAAATGTAAGAGAAAAAGCTACATTCAATGGAGTGTTAATCATTTTTTTTTTTTAAATATCATCTTCTAACAAGAGATTTATTGTGAATTGCAGTCATGGAAGCACTGGAAAGAAGGGAAGGCATTGGAACTGATAGATTCATCATTTGCTAATTCCTATTCAGCATCGGAAGTTTTGAGATGCATACATGTTGGCCTCATATGTGTCCAAGAACGAGCAGAAGATAGGCCAACAATATCTTCTGTGGTCTTGATGTTGGGTAGTGAAACTGCATCAATGCCACAGCCTAAAAACCCTGGTTTTGTCCTTGGAAAGAGTCCTACTGATACTGACTCTTCAGCTAAGCAAGAAGAATCATACACAGTGAACCAAGTCACAATCACAGATGTAGATGCTCGGTAGGGGAAGAAATATAACTGCAAATTTCACTTTGATGATTTTTGCTTCTTGTGTTTCACTACAATTTTTTTTTTACCACTTTGGGTCTTCTCTACTATCTTAGGTTTACACAATGAGCACCTGCACACAAAATTACCGCAACATAAATTGTGAGAACTAAGAAACAAAAGAAAACTCAGAATTTTGATCCAACAGCATAGCATATAAATACGAACATTTACTAAGAAACCTGCATTGCAGTCATTTCCTGTACATCAGATGATTCTCTCCAAACCCCGAATTGAAAGAAATTCTCAAGTAGTTAGAGATAAATACACCCAGTTTACTAAAATTATAGTACTTGAACAGCATAACCATACATCCTTTAGGATTAAATTTTAAAATATTATATATGATAAATATATAAAATCCCATGATGGATGGAGACGTGTTAGAATACATAAGAATTTTTCGCACAACTTGTTCAAATTTTTTGGAAAGTGAAAAGGCCTATGTAGTCAAGTAGGTATAAGAAATTTAGAAGTAGTAGCAGTGGAAAAAAATTATAATTTTGGTTATCTCTTCTTTTTGCGGCTTCTGACGGTTTCTCCTTTCCTTTATACAACGTGTAAATCTTTATTATCCCTTGAATTAATAACTATAACTTCATTATCACTGATTAGTGAACGCCACTGGGACCAGCAACAATGAGGCTTTCTTTGATGGCTGGTGAAAGCCCATTTTGCTAATGCTTTAATGGAAGCAATCCTGTGGACTATTGATGCCAACAATCCATTATCAAAAGCAACTCCTTAAGAAAACTCCTCATTACTAAATTATATCCGTGTATCACTCTTGATTATTGTAAACATAGTTATAAGATTAGGAGCATAGTAATTAATTGCACCACAATAGCACCTCGAGCCACGCCGAATGAACGTTGCAGTGCCTCGCTACAAAAAATCGCACCGCATCCTAAATTTTGTTCTAAATTTAAATATGCAACAGAAATTTTTTAAGAAATTTTTAGTCTATCTACATCTCTCTTTGTCACTTCTTTTATCTCTACCCTTAAAAATGCTTCTTTAGAATGTAAAATGCAAGAGCAGCTTTGTGGAATTGAAATTGGCTATCATATTTGATGAAGAGGACAGTAACTATGAATAAAGTTCTCGTTGTTATATTTGTTTTTGCTTGTCTATCTGTCCTTCTAAAAATGTCATATGCAGCTGATACCTTGACTTGAAGGATGATGAAACATACGGCAACGACAATGAATTGAATTCACTGCTTGTAATTTGTAAACGTCATTGAACCAAATGAAAACCACTGGAATTGATTCTTTCGCCCATAACCACCAACTGATACACTATATAACATTACAACCCTGCTGCAAAAGTAGGTTAAATCCAAAGTGCAGAGTAGGAAATAAATGTAACAACCACAGCCCCTAGAACCCAAAATTGCACTTCCATTCAAAATTTTCTCATATCAAGAAGTCCAAGACTAAAAACAAGTTTTACTAATTGTGAAAGACTACAGCTATAGATTATTGATCTATCTGATTACCTTATAATCATAGATTATGCAGCTAATATAATCAAGACAGAAGAAGAGAAAATATGGATGGAAATATAAGCACGTTGCTGAAGCTGTAATATATTCATCCATTGCACCATCCTTACCATAGGCAACCAAAGTATCTTTAGGGATATCATGAAACTATGACACAAACATTGTCAAAAATAGATCATTATGATGAACAGGTTAAACCAACTGCATGCAAGATCAATTCATATCAAAACTTGTTTAGTTTCAACTGTTCGCTTTCTATTAATTCCCATATGATTAAGACCAACAATATCTCCACAACTTCAAGTAATACAAGAAACAACAGATTGACCTATAAAAATCACGGATTATTTTTGCAGAAAGAGACCCCAAAATATATTAAAATAAGTACAACTTGTACCAGAAAACCATGTAACAGAGGGTAACATAAACAAACTCCAAATGTAATACTAACATTAAGCGGAAAAATGATAAGGATGCTGAATAGCACATACTAATTCCAACTAGGATTTGTTAAATCCTACTTTGGGATATAATTAAATACTTAAGTCTACTTACACTCCAACCTTACTAAAATTACCATTAAAAGAGACACTAGTTTTGCATTGACACAAAATTATTTAAAACCAAATAAATGACATTCTCTTCCATATGCTATGCTTGTTGCTAGCAGTATCATCATCATCTGAAGGAAAGCTACCATATCAAGGTAACTGTATTAAATATTCTTGCATACTTCAAGGCCTGCAGGAAACATGAGGTTAATGTAAATGTCACCATTTTATTGTAAATGTTACTGTGATATTGTAAAAATGTAACTAGTAATCCCAGTTGTTTTACACCAAACATTAGTGTTTTTCTATTAAATTTTTTCACTGAAAATGCCTTTGATTATTCTGAGTAAGCAAGACATAATATATTTTTCCCAACCATTGGGGAATTCAATCCACCACCAACCTCATCTTTCCCTGCAATTTCATGTATCAATTTTTTTTTATAGAAAAAGAAATATTATTAGCTAGGACAGGGAGAGTACAAGATAGGTTAAGATATCATTTTCATGTATCACGCATTATGCAAGAAAATTTTCATTTTTCATAATGCAAGATTAATAAGAATAAAATGGTCAAAAGGATTGGAGAGCATTGCATACCCTAATTCTTCTTGTTTGTTACCATTGGTCATCTTTATGCTTCCCCAAAGTCACTAGGAAGTGATAGCAGACTCTCTCTATACATAATGGAGCATGGATTCGATAAGAACATATAATCTATGAAGTCTGGACCATATTTGCGATACTTAAGCAGCTTTCGATACTCAAGCAGCTTTCCTTCACCTTCACCGTCAAGTTTCATTATTACTCTCCTTTCTTCTGATCCAACAACAATTTCACCACCTTCGGTGAAGCATATCGGGGAAAAGTCGTTGTCAGGAGCCGTGAGAAAAGTAATCAAAACAGTGGACTTAGTCCAAGATGACTGCACTTTATATTCTTTCATCGTCCATATCTCAACCATTGCTTCACACTCACCCGTTGACCAATAAGTCGCCCGACAATTACACAGACTGAGACATCCTCCGTTTACCGTCAAATTATAAGCTCCAACATCCAATGTCTTGGCAAGATCATATGGCAGAGGAATCTCTGACAAAGTCCTTTCAGTCAAATCAAATGATATAATTTTGTCAATCACATCCAGACTACTACAGAAATCGAACCAATGAAGAGCCCCATTCAAGAATAAGCCAACTTTGAATGCAGACGAGACTTCATCATCCACCACCGAAAATGGATAATTGATACCCTCAATTCTGTTCCATGAATTGGTTTTCAAGGAGAAAAACTCCATGCCAGTTGCCACCTTACTCAATCCAGATTCAGGCAGTGGCATGATAGTAATTACCAAGTAGTCATCAGTTGCTGCGTCATACCCAAAACCACATAAAAATTCGCACATTGAGTAGGGACGAGAGAATGGTATTCCTTTATGGAAACCGGTTGATGGATTCCATATAATAAACTGATAATAAAACCGTAAGAGTATAAACCCTCGACAGGAACCCATAATTCTAAAATTAGAATTATGGAGGGATAATGGAAATGGAGAAGCGAGTTGTACTAGAAAAGAATCATCATGAAACAATGCTTCTAAATCTATGGATACACGAAAAGAATCATACTTAACAAAAAGTCGGTGGGTGGGTGCAGCAGCTAGGTCAAAATGGGATTTTGCGAATTGGGGATCGGAGATGAGACATAACCATGATTTAGACACACATTTGAAACGCAAAAGAGATCTCACCGGCAACTTCAACAGGATTTGTACTATCATATCATCAGGGAGTGTGAGAGTGAGATTCATCTTCTTCTTCTTATTCATCTTCACGTCGTCTCTTATTCACCGTTCGATTTTGGTTTTTTATGGAAAGAGAGGAGAGACTCCAAACCAAACGTCTTCAACAGGAGCAAATATTCACAGCTATCCTAAGATGCACAGACACTCACTATGTTGTATGACACAGACACGGGATATCATATACATATTAATTCTAAAAAAATGTTAAATTTTGATATTATATAATATTTTAAATTTATGTAGTGCATATTTTATTTAGAAAAAAGTGTTTGTCATTATAAATGACATAATATTATGTCATTTTAAGAGAGAGATAGACACAGAATAAATTTTTTTATTTAAATTTTAAATTAAAAAACCACTCACTTTCTCTCTCTCATGATTTTCATTTTATGTGTCTATCTCTCTCCTAAAATTACATAACTTATATCATTTAAAATGACAAACATCAAGCCCTTATATTTAATATTCAATAATTTAACAAAAAATAAAACTAAACTTATAATATCCATCAATTTTGCAAATAAAAATAAGATATCTCAAATGTTTATATTAAACTCAATAAAATAGTAATCGTAGTCTAATGAATCTAATAATTGGAACTCAAAATGCAACACAACGTAACCTTTGAACCTTTTTTTGAGTCTTTGCAACGGGTATTGGAATGTCGGGAAATGTCGGAGTGTCGAAAAGTATCGGATACGACACATCAGAGATTTTGAAGGCATGTTTCGTTCCCCTCTCCAACCGATGTGGGACATTACAATGGTGCTGAGGCATCGTCAAGAGGCCAGATGAGAGATACTATCTGACATAATAGTATGATTTGATTGATATACTTATATGTATTGGGCGTAGTTTTATTTTGGATATTTATTTGTATGCCATGTTATTATTTTGAGAGCATAGGGGATGTCTATGCCATGTTGCTAGTTTGTATATATTGTGGTGATGCATGCTCAGGTCTATGTTACTTATTTAATTGCATCTCTTTTGTTTATTTGATGTAATTATTTAAGTAACATTAGGGCATGTTTGGTGTACAAGATATGATAAGGCCTGATAGTATAAGGACTGATTGTATAAGACCTGATTAAATTTTAATATTATCCAGCATTTAGTATGACATTGTATAAGATAATATATTGTAAAATATAATACTATCCAATGTTTGGTAACGCACTGTATAATACTATATAGAATAAGGGATAAGTTATTCTGTCTACCCTTATTTTGCCTACCTTTGCCTATCCCTTTTAATACCGTTCGATTACAATCTAATTCAAAGGTCTATATTTATGAAATAAAATACATTTTTCCCCTTTTTTTCTCCTTACTTCCTTTCACACCCTTTCTATCTCCTCCCATTTCTCTCTTCCTCTACGATTTGCGTCTCTATGTGACTGGATCTAAAGAAAATCAAGGTTAAAAATTTTCCTCAAAATATGAATAGCCAGGTATAATTTTCTTATGATCTAACTATGGCCTCAGTTGATTGTTGAAGTGGTATCTGACTTGAAAGAAAGGTCAACTTGGACTCAAAGCAATAGTTCACTGCAGTCACGCCATTCCTTGTTTTAGCACACAAATTAATAGATCTAGTCACATAGAGACACAAATTATAATAACCCTCACTAGTAATTGTGGATTTAATATTGAAGAATAATTAGAAGTAAAAGAAATAAAGTCATCTTTGGTGAAAAAAAAGTTAAAATGACAGTTAAGGGATAAAAATGCGGGTAAATAAAGTTATCCAAAAAGTGAAAATAAAATAGAAACGTGACTAGAAAAATATTCTAGTCTATTGGGTAAAGTTTGGCAATGAATAGAGGTGGGTAGATAGATGAACTTATACCCGCTGGTATAATGAACTTGCTTAAGTGACTAGGGAGTCACTATTCCCATTCTCATTTCGTGACTTATACGGGAGGCAGAGACAGAGAGCATGAAAATGAAGAAAAAAAAAGGATTATGATGGAAATCTTCCAAAATTCATAACTTGAGCTAGAGATCTCCAAATCACTTCGTTCCAAAGCCAAACTTGTGAGAAATTTCGAGAGGAATCCATTGGTACTAGTATTTCTGGGTGGGTTTCACTGTAGAGAGAGATCTCCTCCTCCAAAGATTTCGAATTTCATGGAAAAGATGGATTTTGATGGAGCTTGAACCCATGGGAGCTTAGATACTCATCTCTCCTTTGTTTTAGAGTGCATTGTGGTAAGAAATTCCCTTCCTTTTCATGTTTTTATGAAGATTGAATTTATGGTTTCATTTTGAAAATTTGGTTTGATTGAGCATGTTAGAGCTTGATTCAGGTTTAGCTCATGTTGAGAAAAGTGTTTAGATGAGAATTTTAACGGTGAAAATGTATCTGAAAAATTAAAGATACCATATTTTTGAATAGTGTTGTATACGTGAATAGTGACGTATACATGAATAGTATTGTAGAGATGAACAGTACCGTAGTACCGTATATATATGAATTAATGAATCTTGGATTAGAGGTGTGTGATAAGCTTGAATTTGATGGACTAAAGCATTGGAATCATGAAGTTGGCATGAATTCCTTTATGTGCCTCTTAGCCATTTACAAAGGAAGTATGTGCTATGAGTTACTGTTTTACAAATCGAGCATACTTTTATGCGTGGAATAATATTCTAAGGTGTATGGACCTTCGCTTTGGTGAAATAAAAAAGAAAATAAGGTAGCTCCTTTGTATGACCTTAAAATGAGTTTTAGCCATTTTCAAAGGAGGTATATGTTCGGAGATATTATTTCACAAAGTGAGAACACTTATATGCGTAAAATAATTTATATAGGTGGCTAAGCTTGGATTTAGGCACTAGACAAAGAGAAATCTTATAGCTCCATTGTAATGGGCATTCTGCCTTAAGTTGGGACTATCCTAAGACTAAGTGAATGTGTGAAATTTTGTGGGGATTTATTGAACAAAGAACCACCCACTCATGACTTAATATGATTAAGTAAAAAGAAAATAAACAATAAAGTGTGTGTCTTGTATATTTACATGGCATTATATCATTTTATTGAGCTTTGTGTTGAATTCCTTCTCTAGGTGTACCTAGGGACTGTGAACGTTTGGATTCTCGTGGAGCATGATAAGTAGCTTGTTCTTCAAGTAAGCAAATTGTAAAGCTCCAAGAGGTAAGCTCTATGTTTATGGGGTTCGCTCCTACTTTGTGTTCCGCCATAGTGTACGGACTGTGGTCAGGTTGTATGATATGTATGAGATATATGATATAGATGCATTCATATAGAGTTATATGATGTTTTATATATTATGTATCTGACTGTCATGCAGGAAGTGAGCCCAGGGTATGGAGGGTTTTCCATAAACCTGAAGTTTACTAGAGATTCGTCTCTAACCCCGTTTGGGGATATGATTTCAGGAACACAGTTAATTGAAGAGCCTCATGGGACAAGGACACTAACCGTGGCTAGAGGTACTAGTATGAGGATGTGGAGTTCTGGGTGGTCGGATGCTACTATTTGTTTTAGACGTATTTTTGGAAAAGATGTATTGTTGCATAGTGTTCATATTCGATACATGTACATTTATGTATTCAGGCATGATGATATGACTATGTAGTATTCAGTTATGTTATGTATTGGATTGCATGCTATTAGATTTGTGGCACGGAGCCAAGTTCAGCATGCGCCCATAGATGGGTATCTGAGTATATTTTCATGACTGGTACTTCTGGAAATATATATTGTTTAAACTGTCTATCAGGAACTCTTGAGAGTGGGATTGGAAAATCCCCAGTTGTTCGATTTACAGAGGTTACTCTGTCCGATTTTCGTCTCCGTAAAATAAGAATTAAATTAGAAGAAGTATGCAATGTGATATGTCATGTGAAAAAGGATTAAAGAAAAAGAAAAAGTTAGTTCGTATTTTCGTAAGTTAAGTCTTCCGCTGTTTCTGTTAAGTATCATATGCATGTTAATTGAACCGGCTCGAGGCTGGGGATGTTACACAAATCATTAGGTGTGATTTTGTGTCAATTTTATAATATATGTTTCTTAGATCCTGTAACACCCCGTTCTAGAACCGGATTGTTATCATTGCGTACGGCATTAAGCGCAGTTACAATCACATTGGTTCAATTAGAAAACCGGATAAATTTTTCCTTTTTATACAAGCCGGATTCAAATAACCAAGTGCGTGATCATAACTATACATACTTCGCGGAATAGTGGGACAAAACTAAAGGTTATATTCCCATTATACTTGACAATACGTCGTGAAAAGTCTTCATCACTTTAATTATCAAATTAATTCTAAACTCCTTTTATGATTCCCATCTTCTACTATGTTATAGTATTTTTCATTAGCTACGCGTGGCTTCAAACCGCGCTCAAATCGGAGCACCGTAGCCAAAGTTATGCATTTTCTAAGAAAATGGTGTGAAACCTCCAGAACCCCCGCGCCCGCAGCGTGAGATCCACGCTCAGAGCGTGGGAAAACAGAAAGTTGGCGCCCCAAGCGTGAATCTGGCGCCCCAAGCGTGGATGCTACTGTCTGATCTCGTAATTTGGCGCCCCAAGCGTGAATTGGGCGCCCCAGGCGCCATCCACAGGGCTGGGTGACCCAAAACAAGGTCATTTAACCTACCTATGGTTTTTCACTCATAATTTGAGCTATACTCTCTCAAATTACACCACTTCGGTCTCTATGGAAAGATAAGAGGAATGTCTACCACTTCCATAGAGACATCAAAGTCCAATTCCATCACATTGGGTGTGAAAATTGGTCAAACGGACATGATGTATTTGTTTTCTCAACATTTCCCAATTTAGCACTAGGTACCTAATTGATTTTCAGCCCAACCAATTCAACAACTCAACACATAACAAGCATGCATATATTGAATTTCAAGTAGGCATCATTTACATTACATATCCTTTACAAATCATAGAACTTAGCTTACAAAACACTATGATCATTCCCTTGGCTCCCATCAACAAAAGGTGTAACCAAAGGCATGAGCATAGGCTAAGTTCATCCAATGAATCAAGATATACAAATGACCATGGGCTTTCAAAATAAAATCCTATACATGTCAACTACAAAAGGCATGCATAAACTCAAAGAAATGCCATATTTCATGCATAATCCAGATATGGCCACTTGCCACCAGAGGCTCCTGCAGCATCCTTACCTGAAAGGGGGTCCCCACAACACGGGGTGAGATATACGAATATATCCAGTAAACCAGGGGTCCTAGGAGCATCTCTCCACCCCACAGTTCCATATCAGTGTAATAGCAATAACAATAATAATGCAGTAAATACATATCTATGCAAAGTGCAATACATCTCCAGGAGAAATCCCTCGAGCTCTCAAGCTGTCCTAAGGAAACTCAGATGCAAATAGTCCTACTGGCCAGCTAACTACCAAGTATGATTTACGCATCGTCATGCCACATACCAACATAGGGAAACACCATCCTATGCCACACCAAATGCATACACATACGTATAACAAAGCATTACACTATTTTATTGCATTTATATACACAATCACAACCTCCACCCTTTCAGGGCTTGGTAGAACAGTCAAGGGAATTACACCCAAGGTCCGAAGGCTTACCTCAATGCTTCAGTCGACCTTTGTTCTTCACCAATGTCAACAATACTCTACTCCAAAACCAACACCTACACATGGTGTAATGCAATCAACACATTGCATCCAAGAGTATTTCACAATCAACCATCAATTCAAAACACAACTCAAGTATGAGCTTACCAATTCCAATGAGCTATTCAAGCTCCATAGCTTGCTCCAATGGTTGATCACTCACGGTTGGTCCAAATGTCTCAATCCTAGACATCATAAGGATCCAATCAATCATTCAACTCACTAATTGTTCAACATGCTAGAATACTAACCAATCCAAGCATGAATTTTCCAATATTATGAACAATTATCAAATGACTATCTAGGCTCATTTCCACCGATTAAATGTCGTTCCTAGCATTTTTCCCAACATGCTCTAAACTCCATTCTTCCTAGAACATAGCTAATTCAACTACATTTCATAAAAATCCCAATTTACTATTCACAAACCCTAACTCATGCAAATTTCAAGGAATCATGAGGTTCAAGGGTTAGAATCTTACCACCAATGGTCACACAACCAAGGATTGATGGCTCCTCAAGCTTCAATGGAGGTAGAAACTCTCGAAACCCCAATTTTCACCAAAGGGCCGAATTTTTGAGAGGTAATATCTCTCTCCACAATGCTCCCCACTCAAAACAAAGCTAGGATTATGAAAGAGGAGGAGATTTGGAGTGGTTTAGGCTTTGGAATTGCTCAAAATGGTTGAGGTTTGCTCTCTCTCTCTCTCTTCCTCCCTTTCCCTCCTTCTCCTTCTTCTTCCTCTCTTCTTTCCTCTGATTCAGGCTCGACGAAATGGGGTGGGAAATGGGGCTCATTTTGGCTTTTAGTCACTTAACATAGGTTAAGTGACTTTAAGCGGGTATTGGTTCGTCTATCTATTCAACTCCAATAATTACCAAACTTTACCCAAAAGTCTGGAATATTATTCTAGGAATATTACTATTTTTGTTTTTATATTTTGGGTACTTTTGCCAGTACCCATTTATACCCCTTAATTTTCACTGAGTACACTTTTTAACTCCAAAGTGACTCAGATTCATTTAATTAAGCCTTATACTTAATTTCACTCACTAAAACATGTTTAATTAATTAATTACACTTGATTTACTAATTAATTAAGATGGGCTATTATAGTCACCCCACCTTTTAGCGATTTTGTCCGCAAAATCAAGAACGTACCTGTCCTTAAACTCAGGATATTGCCGGAGAAGCTCATCTTCCCGCTCCCAAGTGGACTCTTCAGGCGTCCTTCCTTCCCATTGGACTTTCACCATAGGAATAGATTTATTTCTCAGCTTCTTCTCATCTCTTTCAAGTACCTTCAGTGGCCCAATAGGAGTCTTCAAATTCTCCCGGATTTTAACATTATCAGGTTGAACCACATGAGAAGGATCAGCTACATATTTTCTCAGCTGAGAAACATGAAACACATCATGCAAATTTGCCAATTGCGGAGGTAAGGCAAGCTGGTAGGCAACCGGTCCCACCCTACGAAGAATCTGGTAGGGTCCAATAAATCTCGGACTCAGCTTCCTCACTCCAAGGGCTCGTCCCACACCCGTAACCGGTGACAGCTTCAGGAACAAAAACGGAAAATAAAAAGAACTAGGAGGAAAATATAAGAAAAGATAGGGGTTGAAGAGTTTTTTTTTTTACCAAAAAAAGCAAAGGAGCACAAAAATTTTAGTGGGCCGAGTGTATATTAAAATTTTCCCACATAGAGACGCAAATCATAGAGAAATAGATAAAGGGGAGGAGAGAGAAAGGGTGTGGGAGGAGGTAAGGAGAAAGAAATGGGGAAAAAGGTTTTTTTATATCACAAATATCGGCCGTTAGATGAGATTATAATCGAACGGTATTAGAAAAGTAGGCAAATGTAGGCAAAATAAGAGCAGATAGAATAACCTCTCCCATAGGATAAAAATAAAAATAAAAATCTTTAATATTTTTTTGACCAAAAATAGTCAAATTCATCGTCATAGGAAAGTTACATTGCAAGGCCACTAGAGGAAATCAAAGAAGCTACAGAAGAAGAAAGAATTTGTGCTCTAGAGGTTGCAAAGGCACTCCAAATCAATTTGCAGTCTTCGAATCCATCATTTACCAAGTCAAAGGTTTGGTCTCATGTTTATATTGTTAGAGCATTTCCAGATTCAGTTGAAGAAGATCGAAAAGATATTTTGGAGGAAGATGGAAATACGCTTGCAACCAAAGCATCAAAAGCTGCCACTAAATGTGAACTAGAAAACAAGAAGAAGAAAAAAAGCCGAAAAAGGCCATGGTATGTGAAAATAAGGAATCAGAGTTCTCAAAATAAATAAATAATATTATTGCTATCCGGCAAAGACGTGTCTTCACACGTTGAACACAAACTTTGAAAAGGGGAAGAAGAAATAGGGGTTACGGTGCAGTTACAATCTATGTAGCACCAATACGACACGCGACACGTGACACGACACTCTGACACGTCAATCCTAAAAAATTATGGATTTCGACACGTTGGGACACATTTTAATATTAAATAATATTTTTAATTTATATAGTGTATATTTCATTTAATATTTAATAATTTAACAAAAAAATGAAACTAAATTAATAATACCCATCAACACGTTATAAAGATGGAAGCTTTAATAAAATAAAATAAACTGGGATAAGAGAGAGATGTAATATCAGATAGAGAGATCAAATCATATTAGAGAGAGATCAGAGAGAAGAAGATACAACAAGAGCGTGATAGAAATTGACAACAATGATGCTGAGATGATCTCTTATCTACTTAAGGGGGAAAAAGGCAAAAAGATAAAATTGACATGATCAGGTGGAAGCTTTATTAATATATTTTAACTTTTAAAAAAAAAAGTTTAAAAAAAAATTAAAATTTCTTTAACGAAAATGCCATTTGACCTGTCCGACACGGTCAAATTCGCGTGTCGGAATGGTTAACGTGTTGGAAAAAGTCAACCGCGTGTCCGACACCCGTGTTGGAGCGTGTCGGAGCGTGTCGGACTCGACTCTTCCTGTTTTTACAAGTGTCCGTGCTTCCTTGGTTACAATTGGGAACAAAAAGATGAGAAGGGATTAGATTAATACATCATTTTCTTATCAGGAGTTATCCTACCCACAAGACTTGTTAGGTTTATACACCATTTTAATGTATTAAGAGATACTGATGTATAAACTTATATTATATAATGGTCACACAAAATAACTAAAAATGTCAAAATATATAGTATAAGCTTAGATTATCAGGTCTTATACATGACATCAAACATGCCCTTATTATAATAGCTCATCTTAACTAATTAGTAAATCAAGTGTAATTAATTAATTAAGCATGTTTTACTGAGTGAAATTAAGTATAAGGCTTAATTAAATGAACCTGAGTCACTTTGGAGTTAAAAAGTGTACTCAGTGAAAATTAAGGGGTAGAAATGGGTACTGGCAAAAGTACCCAAAATATAAAAATAAAAATAGTAATATTCCTAGAATAATATTCCAGACTTTTGGATAAAGTTTGGTAATTATTGGAGTTGAATAGATAGACGAACCAATACCCGCTTAAAGCCACTTAACCTATGTTAAGTGACTTAAGCTACCAAAAGACCCCCATTTCCCCCAGAAACCTGTCGCCAGAAAACAGAGGAGAAGAGAAGAGAGGGAAGAAGAAAAGGGAAAGAGAGAGAGAGAAAGCAAATCTCAACCAAATCCATCCGTTCAAAAGCCTAAACCACTCCAAATCTCCTCCTCTTTCATAATCCTTGCTTTGTTTTGAGTGGGGAGCATTGTGGAGAGGGATATTGCCTCTCAAAAATTCGGCCATTGGAGAGATTTTGGGGTTTTGGGAAGTTCAACCTCCATGGGAGCTTGAGGAACACTCCTTGCTTGGTTGTGTGACCATTGGTGGTAAGATTCTAACCCTTGAACCTCATGATTCCTTGAAATTTGCATGAGTTAGGGTTTATGAATAGTAAATTGGGATTTTGATGAAATGTAGTTGAATTAGCTATGTTCTAGGAAGAATGGAGCTTAGAGCATGTTATGGAAAATGCTAGGAATGTCATTTAATCGGTGAAAATGAGCTTAGATAGCTAAATGAGTATACTTGTAAAATGGCAAGAATATGATGCTTGATATTGGATTTCTTGCATTGTTGATAAATGGTATGACTTGGTTGATTGATGATTGTGTCCTAATGGTGTCTAGGATTGAGACATTTGGACCGACCGTGAGTGATCAACCGCTTGAACAAGCTATGGAGCTTGAGTAGCTCATTGGAATTGGTAAGCTCACACTTGTGTGGTGTTTTGAATTGAGTATTTGATGGTTGATTGTGAAATACTCTTAGATGCAATGTGTTGATTGCATTACACCATGTGTAGGTGTTGGTTTTGGAGTAGAGTATTGTTGACATTGGTGAAGAACAAAGGTCGACTGAAGCATTGAGGTAAGCCTTCGGACCTTGGGTGTAATTCCCTTGACTGTTCTACCAAGCCCTGAAAGGGTGGAGGTTGTGATTGTGTATATAAATGCAATAAAATAGTGTAATGCTTTGTTATACGTATGTGTATGCATTTGGTGTGGCATAGGATGGTGTTTCCCTATGTTGGTATGTTGCATGACGATGCGTAAATCATACTTGGTAGTTAGCTGGCCAGTAGGACTATTTGCATCTGAGTTTCCTTAGGACAGCTTGAGAGCTCGAGGGATTTCTCCCGGAGATGTAGTGCACTTTGCATAGATATGTATTTACTGCATTATTATTGTTATTGCTATTACACTGATATGGAACTGTGGGGTGGAGAGATGCTCCAAGGACCCCTGGTTTACTGGATATATTCGTATATCTCACCCCGTGTTGTGGGGACCCCCTTTCAGGTAAGGATGCTGCAGGAGCCTCTGGTGGCAAGTGGCCATATCTGGATTATGCATGAAATGTGGCATTTCTTTTGAGTTTATGCATGCCTTTTGTAGTTGACATGTATAGGATTTTATTTTGAAAGCCCATGGTCATTTGTATATCTTGATTCATTGGATGAACTTAGCCTATGCTCATGCCTTTGGTTACACCTTTTGTTGATGGGAGCCAAGGGAATGATCATAGTGTTTTGTAAGCTAAGTTCTATGATTTGTAAAGGATATGTAATGTAAATGATGCCTACTTGAAATTCAATATATGCATGCTTGTTATGTATTGAGTTGTTGAATTGGTTGGGCTGAAAATCAATTAGGTACCCTTTTGTTTAAACTGGTAAACGATGAGAAAACAAAGGTCATGCTGCCCAAACTCTAGCTAAATCTCATGAGGAGAGGTTGGATGAGTGCTAGGATTTAGTTTTGGGGCATGGACAATTGGAGTTTGTAATGGGGATGCATTTTCCCCTAGGCTTGGACTTGAGGAATGTGGGAATTGGAATTCCCTGGCAGCGCGCTTAAGCGCCCAGGAGCGCGCCCAAGCGCCCTGCCGCCCCTGCGAGTGTCAATGCATTCTGCCTCCTCACGCTGGAGCGCCCAAGTGGGGGCTTAAGCGCCCAGGATTGCGCGCTGGAGCGCCCTGGCGTGCGCTTAAGCGCCCCTTTGCTGCAGAAAGTTGGGTGGCTTACTGCCCCCTCGTGTTTTAGCGCCCAGGGTGGGGCTTAAGCGCCCAGGGTTGCGCGCTTGAGCGCCCTGGTCCACGCTTAAGCGCCCTTCGCCACTGAAGGAGGAGATGCTTCTGTCTCTGCGCGCTAAAACGTCTCCGTGGGAGCTTGAGCGCCCAGGATAGCGCGCCTGAGCGCCCTGTTGCGCGCTTAAGCGCCCATCCACACTGGAATGTCTGATGCTTACTGCCTCCGTGCGCTTAAGCGCCCAGATGGAGGCTTTAGCGCCCGATAGCGCGCGCTTGAGCGCCCGGTAGCGCGCTGAAGCGCGCGGGGCCTGTGACCAACACTCTCTTGTGTTGCTTCAAATTGTCCTAACTTGGGCTACAGTGCTCCGATTTGAGCACGGTTTGAAGCCACGGGTAGCTAATGAAGAAACCTACAATATAGTAGAAGTTGTGAAATAAATAAAAAGTAAATTAATGGTTTAAAAATGGAAAATGAACATGATGTTAAGCTTAATTTATCTGTTTCCGCAAAGTAATATGGTTATGATCACGAAATTGGGTATTATAAGTTCGGTATGTTTTAAAATGAAAAATTTATCCGGATTTTAATTGAACCCATGTGATTGTAACTGCGCTTAATATCATAATGCGATGTTAACAAACCGGTTCTAGAACGGGGCGTTACACTTATGGACATTATATGGAGATCATATGACTATGAGATAGCCTAGATCGTGGATGGCTAGGCAAGACATTTATTCATTTTGGGCTTAGTATATTAATAAATTGTAGGATGAGAATTAATCCCAATAGTTCGAAAAACAGACAAAATGCCCTCTGCGAAATGTAAAAAGAGTAGATATGGTTGCAATACGTAAGGAAAAAGAAAAAAGTTAACCACGAATCTCCGCATTTAATAAGTTAGAATGTGTTGCGCTTAATATCATATGAATGAATGTTAATTAACCGTTTCAGACATGGTATTACAATCTGCTGGTAGCTCTGACAAGAAAAATAATGTAGGTAGGGTTCTAGGCATTACGGTTACTACAGCTACTATGATTTTGGTAGTGAGCATGTATCTTTTATGGAAGAGGAGAAAATTGCAAAGTATTTGAAAATGGAAAACCATACAAACACATTTACTCAAGTAGGTATAAGAAATTAAGTAGTAGCGGTGGAATGAAAATAATAATTTAGGTTATCTTTTCCTTATTGCGGCTTCTGACGATTTTTCCTTTCCTTTATACAACGAGTAAATCTTTATTGTCCCTTGAATTAATAACTATAACTTCATTATCACTGATCACCACCGGGACCAGCAACTTTGAGGCGTTCTATAATGGTTGGTGAAAGCCCATTTTGCTAATGCCTTAATGGATGCAATCCTGTGGACTATTGATGCGAAAAATCCATGAATCAAAAGCAACTCCTTACTAAATTATATCAGTGTATCAATCTTGATTATTGCAAACATGGGGACATATATGCCATTGCCGTTAATGGCACGAGATTGTTAAGCTTGTTTAAATGAAACCATTTAATATGAACACAACCGTGAAGTTTGAATTTTAGGTATAACTGGAACCTCACACCAACCAAATTGCTTAGTTAACAAAATCAAAGGGACGGCAACACATTAGAAGAGGACTTTATCAACAAATTATTTTGAATCGTTTCAATTATATAAGTAATCCAGGGAGAAAATAAAGATTATAAGGGATATAATAATTGGGTTTTCCAAGTTTCAACTTTCAACCATTAATTTATTCCTCAAGAAATTTCTGAGAACAACATCTTCTTTCTTAAAATTTATAAGGGATTTCACTTTCACCTGTCATATTTTATTATAACTGGCAAATCACCATTTGAGAGTTCTCAGCATTAAAAATCTCTATCCAAGGGAAAACTACTCGTGGAGTTTGAACCGCGTGGTCCTGCATAGTGGATCTTATATTAAGTGGACTTGCTTATAAATAAGACTAGAAACCTTTTGTTTATTAATAAGTTGAAACATTTCTCTTTATAATATGTTAGGATGTAAAATGCAAGAGCAGCTTTGTGGAATTGAAATTGGCTATCAAATTTGATGAAGAGGAGAGTAACTATGAATAAAGTTCTCATTGTTATATTTGTTTTTGCTTGTCTATTTGTCCTTCAAAAAATGTCATATGCAGCTGATACCTTGACTCCAACATCATCCATTATAGATGGACAACAACTCATTTCTGTTGGTCAAAATTTTTCTCTTGGATTCTTCAGTCCAGGAAGCTCCAAAAGCCGCTACATAGGGATATGGTACAATAATATTATGCCTCAAACAGTTGTTTGGGTTGCAAACAGAGAGAATCCACTAAATGACTCACGTGGAAACTTAACCATTGGTGCTGATGGGAATATTGTACTAGTTGATGGAGCAGATAACAGGATGTGGTCTACAAAGTCATCAAGATCAATTCAAGAGCCAATTGCAAAACTGTTAGATTCTGGAAACTTAGTCTTGATGGATGGAAAGAAGGGTGATTCTGATAGTTTTATATGGCAAAGCTTTGATTATCCAACAGACACAATGTTACCAGGCATGAAATTAGGTTGGGATAAGACCTCAGGGCTCAACAGATATTTGACTTCTTGGAAGAGTGCTAATGACCCCTCTCCTGGAAGCTTTATCTACAGCTTTGATCACAAAGATTTTCCTGAGTTGGTAATCCGCCAGGGAATGAACATCACATTCAGAAGTGGGATTTGGGATGGCATTCATTTTAATTCAGATGATTGGATATCATTTACTGGAATTACAGCTTTCAGGCCACAACTTTCAGTAACCAATGATGAGGTAGTTTATTGGGATGAACCTGGAGATAGATTAACAAGGTTTATGCTGAGGGATGATGGACTTCTTGAAAGATATATGTGGGACAACAAAATTCTTAAGTGGACTAATTTGTATGAGGCAAGAAAAGACTTTTGTGATAACTATGGAGCATGTGGGATGAATGGTGTTTGCAGTATTAAGGAAGTACCTGCTTACTGTGATTGCTTGAAAGGCTTCATACCTAAATCACAGCAAGAATGGGATTCATTTGATCGGTCTGGTGGTTGCATAAGGAGAACACCCTTAAACTGCACACAAGGTGACGAGTTTCAGAAATTGAGCTGGGTGAAATTGCCCATGTTGTTGCAATTCTGGACAAATAATAGCATGAGTCTTGAAGACTGTAACATGGAATGCTTGAAGAATTGCTCTTGCACCGCTTATGCGAATTCAGCCATGAATGAAGGGCCCCATGGCTGTTTGCTTTGGTTTGGGGACTTGATTGACATTAGGCTGCTTTTAAGTGAAGAGGGTGAACAACTGGATCTTTATGTAAGGTTAGCCGCTTCAGAAATAGGTATGCAAGGGTTCTGCTTTAATATGGCATGTAGTTTTTACCTTCACAATATGTCTTTGTCTTGGTATGAAATAGGAAGATAGAATTCGGAAATCTGTGTTCCCTTTCAGGTCTCTTCATGATCATTTTTTTCATCCACATGTCATGAACTTAAATCTTTTTTTTGTCATCCACATGTCATGAACTTAATCTTTTTTCATGATCATGTTTGTTGTGACACGTTTAACTCTAGGAAAACAGCAATAACATACAGTAAAGCAACAAATTATTTGTTCATTTGCATGTGAATACACTGTATCCTTGATTAGATTTTCTTTTATGTTTACATCTGCATGCTCTTGAAGAAAATATATATATATGCAAAAACTATAGTGTCTGCTTGATTTTTGTGAAGAGTCCACTGCTAATACTGGTAAAAGGACAAAGATGGCACTGATTATTTCAGCACCTTTGGCACTGCTTCTTTTGTGTACCATTTTCTACCTTTCTAAGAAGTATACAAAACGGAGGACTACAACCGATTTGGGTAAGATTTTTAAGCAATTCAACTTTTTCTGTGATAGATTACCAAATAAAAGAGGTTTAGCTGTGATAGGCTCAAGCCTCAAGCCATGTGAAAATCCTTATTTTTTCTAGTCTCAGGACGTAGAAATCAGAATGAAAATCAAGCGTCGCCTCTTTTTGATATAGATGCTATTCTAGCTGCTACAAACAATTTTTCTGTTGAGAACAAGATTGGGGAAGGTGGTTTTGGTCCAGTATACAAGGTAATTCCTTTTATTTTTTCCATTAAGGTCTGAACTTTTATTTATTTTCCTCACAATTTAACCTTTTCCATTAAAAATCAGGGTAAATTGGCTCATGGACAAGAAATAGCTGTGAAGAGGCTATCAAAAACCTCAAAACAAGGCATCTCAGAGTTTATGAATGAAGTTGGATTGGTAGCCAAACTTCAACACCGCAATCTTGTGAGTGTTTTGGGTGGGTGCACTCAAGGAGAAGAAAGAATGTTGGTTTATGAATACATGCCTAATAGTAGTTTGGACCACTTCATTTTTGGTAAGACCAATGCAAAACTAGGTAATTTGCCTTACTTGCAATTTGGAAAAGCTCTTGTGCAATATCATCGATTATCCTATTTTGCTCTTTAGCTTCATATAACCTGTAGTATAATGATTAAGTGAGCTCTCTCTGACCTTCCTCAGATCCTATACAAGGAAAATTTTTGAAGTGGAGGAAACGATATGAAATTATTATGGGGATTGCACGAGGACTACTTTATCTTCATCAAGATTCAAAACTAACCATCATTCATAGGGATCTAAAAACAAGTAACATTCTACTTGACCACGAATTGAACCCCAAGATTTCTGATTTTGGTGTTGCTCACATCTTTGAAGGAGATCAAGCTGCAGTAACAACAAATAAAATTGTTGGGACAATGTAAGTTACATGATGGATTACTTAGATACTTCCCCATTAATTAAGATAATATAGTTTCTTGACAGTATAAAAAAAGTTGAAAATAAAAATAAAATCATCATGTTTGCTGAAAATGTGCAGTGGTTATATGTCCCCTGAGTATGCAGTAAATGGGCTACTTTCCCTAAAGTCTGATGTATTTAGCTTTGGAGTTATAGTGTTAGAGATATTGAGTGGCATCAGAAATAGTAGCTACAACCATCAAGATCATCACCAAAATCTGTTGGGGCAGGTAATCAAAACCAACCATATGAAATCCAATATTAACTTTAAAAGCCACTGCCTGATTTTTCTTTGTAATTGTTTACCACTATTAACCTTTCTTAAAAACTACCTAGGCATGGACATTATGGAAAGAGGGACGAGCTGTGGAAATTATGGATGTTAATTTGGACCTAACAGCTATTCCATCTGAATTACTTAGGTGCCTGCAAGTAGGTCTCTTGTGTGTTCAAAAGTTCCCTGAAGACAGACCAACTATGTCATCTGTGGTTTTCATGTTAGGCAATGAAAGTATTGCACTTGCCCACCCAAAGAAACCCGGTTTCTTTGATGAAGAGTTAGAGTTTCGTGAGTACACCGAGGAGGACTGTTTTAGCAACAATGCTATGACTATTACGCTATTGGAAGCTCGAAATTAGTTGCTGACTTAAAGCTATCATTGCAATTTTTTTCTCTCTGCTTCATTGAGCCGAAAAGCTTTTAGGCAGTTTGATAAACTGAGGAAAGAGCACTATAGGTGCATTACGTGAAGGCCCTACATAACTTTATCTTCTTAGTTATTTTTCTTTTTAATAGATATTTTCTTAGTTATTTTAGTTAATAGAAAACATCACCACACTCTGAGCCTTCTGGCTGTAACATTTCATTATATTCTTATGAAAGAACTTGATATTTGTCCAATCCACTGTGAAACAGATATTAGTTTCTCTTTACTTCATGATGATGTGGGGAAGCCCCCAAGAAAATTACCACTCTATTCATTGATTATAGGAAAACTCTTCCTATCTTCACATAGCTAACTCCCCCCTAATATTAAAATAAGAATAGTTCTAAATTCTCCTGCCTATTTTCCTAATAATCCTCCTAATGACTAAAAAGGTTTTATATTTTCCAACGATATATTATTATATTATTCAAGATTTTGAGACCTCGTGTAGCAGTTAACAGTCATACTCATTAAATAAAGTACCACGCTATATTTGATGAAAGTATAGAAAAGTTTTAGCCACATCAAAATTAAACTCAATATAAATTTCAAATAGATTATAAACCTGACCCTGTTAGTTTTAGATAATGTAGAGACTCTGCAACTGCTAGACATAGAGATGGCCATGTGAGTGTATAATGAAACCAGATGTCAACAGCAGAAAGTAACTTAAAGCCTAAACTAAGTAGTATTTTTTCAATTAAAGTATCTCTTACATATGACACCAAAACAAGATCAAAGTAGATCTCAAAGATCCCGCAACTATCAGAGGAAGGAAGATATACAGAATATATTTGATTTTTTTGGGAATATACAAAAATTTGTTAGATAATGCCATGCTTCGTTCACTACCTAGCATCTAGCAATGTGACAGTGACTTGGTTCACACTCCACGGTTCATCTTGCTTACTTGAAGAAGAATCGGTCTCCCCAGGATTCCTCCCAACGGAAAATCCAGGGTTTCTTGGTTGTGGCATTAGTGAAGTCTCACTACTCAGCATCAAGATCACTGAAGACATTGTTGGCCTATCTTCTGCACGTTCTTGGACACATAAGAGTCCAACGTGTATGCATCTAAGAACTTCAGATGGTGAATATGATTCACCAATTGATGGATCAATGAGTTCCAATGCACTGCCTTCTTTCCACTGCTTCCATACCTGCAAGAAAGCAGTATCAATTGTTTTTTTAGCAAAAGATGATATTATCAACTAAGTAGTACTCTAATCAAAGAACCTCTCTCACGTACATTCGCTAGAAGATTCAATTCATTGTTTGAGTAATAGAATCCTCTATTCTTCTTTCCACTTATGATCTCCAGCACTAGAACTCCAAAGCTAAAAACATCAGATTTCACTGAGAAGTTCCCATCCATAGCATATTCAGGAGCCATATAGCCACTGCAAATTTGAGAAATATACAAATTAAAAGGTTGCCATATTTGGTCATTCAGAGAGTAAGATAGAGCGATATTGTGGTACTCACTATGTTCCAACAACTCTCAATGTATTTGCTTCTGTCTGATCTGTGCCAAAAATTCTAGCCATCCCAAAGTCTGATATCTTTGGGTTCATTTCACTGTCAAGTAGAATGTTGCTTGCCTTGAGATCCCTATGGATAATCCTGAATCTGGAATCATGATGAAGATAAAGAAGCCCTCTAGCTATTCCGCATATTATGCTGAAGCGTCTTCTCCAGTTCAGTAAGGGTCTTTTGGCTTTGTCTGGAACATGGTTATCATAAATATTATGTACTCAAAAAAAAAAACGTAAGACCAGAAAAAGCAAAACATGTCAGACCAACTCACCAAACAAAATGGAATCAAGGCCTCTATTTTCCATGTATTCATACACCAGCAGCTTCTCATCCATATCAATGCAGCAACCAAATAGCCGAACAAGATTTCGATGTTGAAGCTTGACAATTAACTTGACCTCATTCTTAAATTCTTCATTTCCTTGCCCTGAGGTTTTTGATAACCTCTTGACAGCAATTTCTTGGCCTTCCATCAGCCTGCCCTGGTATAGCCACAATCACTCCTGTTAAGATAGGCGTGCTATGGGTGCTTTGTGATTTTGAGTTATAATGACAGCTATAAAGCAACCTACCCTGTAAACAATACCGAAGCCACCTTGTCCAAGTTTATTTGCTTCAGAGAAGTTATTTGTAGCCATTGTTATGGTATTAAAATCAAATATTGGTAACTCTAGGTCATCCATGTTCCTTTCTCCTGAGTTTTCTCTTTTACTTGAAAACACCACCTCATTCATTAGCAAGTCCTGACTTCTTTGCAAAGAACCTGGTTTAGTGACAAGAACAAAGACATTTTTTATCATGTAGCACAACAACATTATACAACATACGCATTCACATGGAGGAACACTACTTGTACATTACCTCTGCGGTCCGTGTTCCCATTCAATAGCAATTTCCTCTTCTTCCATGATAAGAAACCCAATCCCAAAATTATAACAGCGGCTGAAAGTGTAATTCCTACAACCTTACCTGTATCATTTGTCTTGTGAGAGCCACCTGCAGATGCTAAGTCATCTGAGAAAAACATGTTTTTTTAGTGGAGATATCCACTTTATGGGATTAAGACTAGAAACTACAAAGTAAATGATGACTCAACATAATATTGTAAAATAGTCCAGATATAAAATTATGTCACGCTTCTACTTAACCAACTAGGAAGAAACCTACAAGCTCATAGCAAAAATGTGCAACCACTATTTACTGTGTACAAGAGAATGTTCATTGTGCATTGCATGGCAATTATGTAGAAAAGATGATGTGCCAAATCAGCAATAGAATTTCACTTCAAGGACCAAGAGAAGGAAATCAATCAAATTAGCTCAGTTTTCCATTATACTCCTTTTCTGTGCATGTAAAATCAAATACAGAAAAGTGTTTGTTATTTTAAATGACATAAAGGTACGTCATTTTAAGAGAAAGACAGACACAAGAAAATATTTTTTTATTTAAAATTTAAATTAAAAAAAAATCACTCATTTTCTCTCCCATAATTTTTATTCCTTATGTCTATCTTTCTCTTAAAATGACATAACTTATGTCATTTAAAATCACAAACATCAAACTCTTATATTATATTTCAATTATGGGTTTGCTTATGAAAGAAAATTTCAATCACATTAAATACAAAGGAAAATTAGAGAATTTTGTTTGTTTAGAATTTGATACACTTTCCCGTGTGACATAGACCTGCAACATTGGGAGGGCGCCTACCCCCACCGACGTGTATAAAAATCAGCTTTTTTGGGTCCCATCATAGAGGTAGTGCCTTGTTCGCTCGATATCCATTCACCTAATCCTAACCTTTCTTTTCTTTTCTTCTAAACATACCAAAATCCTACCTACCCTTTGGCAACTTACTATGGTCCAGGACATAAGGGAAGGTGATTTATTCCACTTTTATTGAGGACTGACTTTTTTCCTACACCAACTCAAATTCTATTTTGTTTGCCAAATTCAAATTCAAATTCAAATATGAACACATACATACACAGATTTAACTACCTCTGATGTAAATTCAACCATTCTGTCTATAACATTATCTAGATATAAATAATTTTAATGAAGTCACCTAAACTAAAATGTACCAATGCATGCAACTGTATGTAATAATTATGACCCTATACTTGTATCAACAGCATTAGCCTCTGTTTATCTCAGATTAAACTTTCTAGTTTCTACACAATAATATAAATTCATGAATGCAAAAATTCGTTTTCGTTTGAAAGGATATTTTTGGGTTCACAAAATTAAGCGAATGTGAATATGACTATTTATTACGATTGTGAAAAGCATATAACAGTAAGTCTGGCCCAAGGAAAAAATAAAAAACCTAGCGAGTCAAAAAGGTTGGCCCACGTCACAACGTCTAGCAGCCGATCGTTAAAATTCGGAGGGCCCATGCCACAAAGTGAGTGGGCCCAGCAAACTTTTTAAAAAGGTTCTTTAACTAGGCATTTATTAATCTATTAGTATTAGCTCAAGCAACCAAACGAAACAATCTTTACTCACATTTGCTGAAAAGTCACAAACACAGCGTCACCCCATAGCTAAGACAATTGACTAATTATTTTATCAAATCAAAATTTAAAAATAAAATATCCGTTGTTCCTTGATTAATCATGTAATTATTTTTTTTAATGAATCAAAACAAAGGTATCTTAGTTAATAAAAAAAACAATGATATTTTGGCACTTAAAATTTAATTTCAAATTATTAGCATGTTACTTATATTTTATTTTTGGAAAATTTATACGTAATTATTTATGCAGTTACACTTTGATTTCGAAAAGTATAAAAAAATTAATCACATCAGTATTTATGGATATTTACTCTTTTAAAGACAATAATTCTTACACATTGATTTCAGCTCACATTTGTGAAATTTATTGATGTGAATTCCACAAAATTCTGTATTTTTTTTTTCCTTCAAAAAATCATTGAGAGTTTCATTAGGAGAAGAAAAAAAAACTATCAATCTTAATCACATTCAATCAGCTAAATGCATGCATATACCCTCTTAGCCAAACTTCTGGTAAGCATACAAGTATGAAATAGAAAATGAAAGCCAGAATACAAGTAGAAATAGAACCAATTGTTTAAAGAAATAATGCATAGAAGAAACAACGTACCTACATCAGAAGCTGCTAATCTGAGATAAAGATCTTGCCCACCATCAGAATACTGCCTCATGTCTATGAGTTCACCGATCCACATCACACAACCAGTTCCTCCATTTGTAATCTCAATGTTGGCATAAGCAGTGCAAGAACAATTCCTGTGGCACAAATCTTCACATTCCACAAGGGTCATGCTCCTATTCACAAAGGCAGTAGTTGTCTCAGGCAACTTCACGTTCTGCATATGCAAAAACTTGTCACTCACACATTCCAAATTTGTGTTCCTCACACACCCATCAGACCCATCTCTTAAATTCCAAGCCTGCTGATTTTTAGGCTTGAACCCTCTCACACACTCACAAACCGGTGAAGCATTAGAGTCACATATACCATAAGGACCACACTCTCTATAAACATCACACTGATCCTTAGGTGCATACCAAAACTTGTTCCAAGTCTGGCTACTTTGTATCCATGCAAGGCGCTGCAGTTGACCATCTGAGGTCACAATTAGCCTTGAAAAAATGGATTGGTTCCCAATGGAAAATGAGTAGTATACCCCATGTTCATCTTCAGAAAACGTGAATACAATAGAATCTGTATCGGGTTCCATCTCTGGTACCCCGCTGAATCTCTCACCATTCCAAGGACCACTCCTGTATGTTATGTTCTGATTGTTCCTCAGGAAAATTTCTGGTAGTCCATGATAATCTATCTTGAAAGAATAACCTCCTGTTGAAGGGTCTTGTCCTGTGTTCTTCCAAGATGTTATGTGCTTCTCCATGCCTGTGTCCAAGTTCCACCCCATCTTCATGCCAGGTACCAGTGTATCTGTTGGGTAATCGAAGCTTTGCCATAGATACTTGGTGGGGTCACTCAAGTTTGCTTCTTTCACAACTAAATTCCCAGAATCCAAAAGCTGAACAATTGGGTTATTAGCTGTGGTTTGATTCGAGGACCATACAGGGTTACCTGATGGATTGTCAATAACTATGTTTCCTTTGTCTCCAATCATGAGAAATCCTGTGGAGTCCTCAAGTGGGTTGTCTCTGTTTGCCACCCAAACCAGTGTTCTATCATCAATGTTCTTGTACCATATGCCCACATACCAGTTGGAATCGCTCCCAGGAAAGAAGCCCAGAACGAAGGTTTCGTTTTGGGATATAAGGGTTTGGTTGGTTCTGAGAATTTGTGTTGTAGTTAAGGTATCTGCAGAGATTGAAATTGTGGTGAAAAAAGTGAGCGAAGTTAAGAACCAAAAGAGGGAGAAACGGAGGAGGTTGGTGAAACCTCCCATGCTTGTTTGCAGAGCAAACGTGAGAGAGTTGTTTGTGATTGTAAGAGTGGATGAAGTGTTTGGTTTCTTCTTGTGCAAGACAATTTAATTTCATAGTTTTATATTATTCCCTTGGTCTCTGTTATTTATCCGTTGAATAAGGCTTTTCCCAAATTTGAACACAGAAATTATCTTACGGCAATGGCCTTTATTTTCCGAGACTTTTGCTGGGTCAATTGTAGGAATATGGTTGCATCCATAAAATAAATAAGATTAAAGTAACTTTAGGTAATGAACAAATATCACGAAACCAATTTATTTTTTTAGAAGAAAAAAAAATTGATTTGTAATTTCTCTGAAAATTTATATTAATCCTTTTGAGAGATTAAAATAGATCTTCTTTAAATTTTAAAGGGACTATAATTTTGATTAACTGGATCTATTTTAAATTTTAAAGGGACCACAAATAAACTTTTTTTTCTTAAGGAATTAAAACAAGCCATATAACTTTTGTTGACAACTCAAAAAGTATTTTACTCATATCTCTTGTATAGAAGTTTTTTTCTCATGTATTATGACCAATCTGTATTTATGGATATATTTGACAAATTAATTTATTGCTCTATCATCTCAACAAAAATCAACTATAGGTGAAATAACCAGATCATTAAAAAAAAAAAGTAAAAACAGAAACATGTTCGTGGTTCTGCATATACTTTTTAGAAAGGTAAGAGAGAATTAGTGAGACAAGCATGTATATAATATTTGATTGTTTCCTTTTTTTTACCATCAATTGATTGTTTATTTTTAGGATGCTATCTACACATATTTTGCAAGTGACAGTTTTTCTTTATTAGACTTTAATATAATGTTCTTTGGGGTCCAAAAGGATGACTGTATCCACTTAATATAAAAAACAGTAGAATTAAGACAGCTAGTTAATTATGCTTTTATTTTGATTTTGGCAATATTTTTATCTTAAAATTGACTCTCAGAAGAGTGGCGGCCAAATTAGGTGAGGAATCTGGATGCCAAGTGTGGCACCTCTGTGGCACAAGTGAATACAAACAGGCGATTGAAACAAGCTGGCAATATTATACACCATTTATTTGAAAATCTTACGACAATTGATTTTGTTTCTCAAATTTTTTTTTTCTTACAGGTAAGTTATTTGGTAAGCTAATTTTTTTTTGAAAATGTTGAGTTAATTTTACTGATGTTGTATGTTAATTTTTTCACCACATGGAAAAAAGATAATTCCACCTCTTCAATGATAATTTTCCGGTCCATTTTACATAGAAAATTATGGAAAAAAAAATTTCTCAGCCATATTTTTACTTCATCTCCTATCAAACATAGACAAATAATTTTCTCATCCCATTTTTCTAAGAATTTTTTTTTACCTCTTATCAAACATCCCCTAAAGTACTTTTTGGGCCCTCAATAAAAATCACGAGGCCTATTTTAATTTCATGGAAAAAAATTGACTTGTGATTCTTTTAAAATTTAAAATAGATCCAATTAGTCGAAATCATGGTTCTTCTGAAATTCAAAGAAGACATACATTAATCCCTCAAAAGAATTAATATAGGTCTATTTTGAATTTCAGAAGGATCACGAGTCAATTTTTTTTCCAAAAATTAAATTAGATCCCATAATATTTGTTAATAACCGACAAAATACTTTACTCTCAGAAAAATAAGGCAAGTTTTCCACATTTTTCTCTGAAAGTTTGCATACTCCTTCTTCCGAGCCATCATGATTCATGCATGTAATGGTTATCAAATAGCCATAACTCGTGCCAATAATAACACACAAACGTGGGAGAAAAGGTAAGGACCCTATTATAGTCTAGCAACCCATAGTAAGCTTTATTGACCTGTGGAAAGTATGCTTTCGTAACTGCGAAATTTTGCTCACAAGAATTGACCCCTTTGTCAACTTTTGACCTGCCCTTAGAATCAGCTATTCAATATAAATTTATGTAATACCTTTGCTTAATCTAATTATGAGAATATAACAAAATATAATATAATGCTTAATATCAATTTAATCTTTAAATCCTATTCAGCTTGTCTTGTACTGCACCATGTTCTGTGGAAACAGTTAAAAGCTCCAATCCTTAATTAGTGCAGCTCGTGCTCATTGCAAAGAATGCAACTGTTGATATAATTTAACTTATTTTTATGCAATTTCCTACAGTTGAACTCTTTTCCTTTTGGTAAAGTAAAAGTTAAGATATTACTAAAAAAAAAATAAAAAAAATGTAAAAGTTAAGAGGAGAAAAAATTGTCCTATTGTGTATGTTACAAATTTAGCGAAATATGACCAATCAATGAATGATTATTAACAAAAATTTAACCTAAAACCTTTCGGTCAATAAAACTCTTTTTGCATACAGAGGGGAGACATAAAGACACACAGAGAATGAAAAATGGATACAAATAAATGATTATTACACACTACTTTATGAAGTACGTTGATTATTATTGTTGGCTCTTTCACTGAGATTCAATAAACATATTTAGTCGGTGGTTACGGCCCGGCAAGCTATACTTAATGTTAATCTGACTGCAGTCAGTCATCAAAGTTATGATTAACTGATGACCAATTGTTATGTTTACGTAATTCAAATTCATTAAATAATATTGTTTTGAAGACAATATATTCTGTATTTTGAAACAACCTTGGTTTTGGTACTTTGTGGCTGGCTTCTAGATCCTCGTGACGAAAAGGATGTTGAAACTTGACCAATTCGGATAGGAAACTTAATATGTAGAATCGATTCACGGAATTTGCAAGAGAGCTATATTCAACTCAGACATATGTTGAATCAAAAGAAGCTTCTTGAAAGAAAATGACTGGCACTGCAATAAATACAATTGATTGAAGAAGCAAAAACATAAATTAATTCATGAACTTCGAATGCCTAAACTTGGTTGGCCTACCCTAAGAAAGCATTGGATATATCGTGGATAATGATCGAAGAGTGATGAAATATAATTCTCCAATCTTTTTTTCAAGCGTTTTAATTTCGATAGAAATAGAATAATAATTTCTTAATGGAGGAATTTTTTTTTTAATACTGGTATTCAATTGACAACGTTAATAAATGTTGAATAATTACCGCGTGAATTTTAATATTAAAAATAAGGGCAGGTTATATTTACAAATTTTTTTACTTACAAACTACACTATATTCTCCCGGGAGAATACAAACTTTTACAAACTACACTATATTCTCCTGGGAGAATGTAAAGAACATTGGGATACACCACCCCAAAAGCTAGCTCAAAGGGTGAGAGTGCCCAAGGCCTTATAAACTCCACATTAGTTACACATACAACCAATGTGAGACTATATATCTCAACAGAAAATATAGTGTAATTTGTCAAAAAGTTCAAAAAAATTTGTAAACGGATCGTGTCCCTTAAAAATATGGGGAATGATTCATTTATGAATTTTTTGTATAAATTTTTGTAAATTATACTATGTATTTCTGGAAGTACATAACGTAACCTAGTGTACTTCTAGGAGTACATAGTATAGTTTGTAAACAAAAAATTTGTAAATGTAATCCTCCTCTAAAAATAATAATAAATGTATTTTATTCCAAATTTATTTCTAAGTAGGTCCAATTCTAAATTTTTCTTTCAACTTTACATTTACCTACCGAAACATACCCTTAAAATATAGAAAATGCTAGTTTGTTGACATTGATGCACCAGAGCCTCCTGATTTCTTCTGTGCATGTGGAACACGCAACGACTCATGCATGTGATTTAGATCATTTGGCCCCTCCCCAATAGTTTTTGAAGACATGATTATTCACACCAGCACACATGATATCACTTGAAGTCCAAAAGTCTCAAATCCCAATTGAAGTTTTATTTTTTATGATGTGAAACTAGTTTTTTCTGTGTTGAATAATTGCATACCCCCTACAAAGTGAACCTAGTCATTTTTCTTTTAATTGGCCAAGGAATAAAGCACTTTTCTGAAGACAAAAAATAGATACATACAATGTAATTCAATTTTTAAGGGTATAGCTCCAATTCAACAGAGCCAAAAAGGGAAAAGTATAACTATAAGCCCTGTCTATGTTTAAAGGGAGAAAGGGAAATGCAAAAAATGTTTACAAAAAAAGGAAAAGAGAAATGCAAACAAAACTGATGCAAAAAGGGCAGAATAATGCAATAATTCTATCTCCCTACTACCATTGTGACTGTCAAATCATTTGAAACATCAAGGCCATCCACACAAAATTCTCTGTTCTCAGATCTCCTCATAGAAGTAATCAAAGGTTGTATAGGCAAGGGAAGAGTTGATGCTTCACTTTCCAGCATCAACACCACAGTGGACATGTTTGGTCTATGAGCTGCTGAATCTTGAACACATAACATACCGATATGTATGCATCTCAAAGCTTTGTTTTTAGGGCTAGAATCACGAATACAAGGATCAACAAGCTCCATTGCCCTGTGCTCATTCCAAAGATGCCAGGCCTACATCAATTCCATCATAAAACATTACCTTTCAGCACTTGAATAAACTTGGTAACAAAAATGAGAGTAAAGACTCTTTTTGATCCCTAACAAAAAACACGATCCCCACTTTAGTCCTTTACAAAAATAAATTAGTTAGTTAGTCCCTAACAAATTCAAGGTAGACCTATTTTAGTCCTTTTGAGGGACTAATATGGGTCTTTTTTGAATTTGTGAGGGACCACGATTTCAACTAAATGGGTCCACTTTGAATTTGTTAGGGACTAACTGACTAATTTATTTTTGTAAGGGATTAAAGTGGGGACCGTGTTTCTTGTCAGGGACTAAAAATGATATTTATTCTAAAAATGATGCAACTCTCACATCGAAATTTCAGCAAAACTAAGAATTGGCATATTTCTAAGTTATACAGCAAGTCCTTAACAATTACAAACATGATCATGTGTTGGTAAATCCTTTATACAAAAAACAAATACGCAAAGTTGCATTAATAAAAAAATTAAAGAGCGGTTCGAGATACTCACATGTCCTATGAGACTTGAGTCATCTGAGTGACGAAAGCTAGTGTTCCTGCGGCCACTCACTATCTCTAGTAATAATACACCAAAACTATATACATCAGATTTAACTGAAAACAGACCTTCCATTGCATATTCCGGGGACATATAACCACTGCAGCAGATTTATATTGAGATTAGCCTAGTCCAAATAAGAATTAACAAGTAGATGAGTCAGCATACAAGCAAAATCAAGGCATACTTACTATGTACCAACCACTCTGGTTGTATTGGCTTCATTTTGGTTTCCACCAAATATCCTGGCCAAGCCAAAGTCCGATATTTTCGGGTTCATGTTTTCATCCAACAAAATGTTGCTCGCTTTTAGATCTCTATGTATTATTCTGAGTCTTGAATCTCGGTGCAAATAAAGTAGTCCTCTTGCAATGCCTTCAATGATTTCAAACCGTCTTGTCCAGTCTAGTTTTGTTTGTGTTTGCTTGACTGGATCTGCCAAAGTTTACCAGAAAGTGCAAAATTGTAAAGAAAATGTGATGGTAAAATCTTTTCGTACTGATTAAAAATGCAGAAAGAAATGGACAGGGTTAATGTAAAGAAACACACCAAATAAAAAGCAATCCAAGCTTTTGTTTGGCATGTATTCATATACCAGCAGCCTTTCTTCCCCTTCAATAGAACAACCCATAAGTCTAACCAAATTTCTGTGTTGTAATTTCGCTATCAGCATTATTTCATTCTTGAACTCCTCTAAACCTTGGCCAGACCGTCTTGAAAGCCTCTTGACAGCTATTTCTTCCCCGCCTAGCTTTCCCTAGTAAACGAAACAAATAATTTTATTAGATTTTAGCCAGCCTCTTATTCCTAAAAGTTCGGCTAAATAGAATCATTTCTACCTTGTAAACGGGGCCGAAGCCCCCTTCCCCAAGCTTATTTTCTTCTGAGAAATTGTTTGTCGCTATTGAAATGCAACTAAAATTGAAAAATGGAAGTTCTGGTCCACTTAGTTGATTCCCTTCCAAACTAAAGTCGGCTGATCCTGAAAATTCTGCTGACAAGTCTCTACTCTTCCTTACATCAAAGACCGGTATTACATCACTATTCTTGCAGCATGAAGCCGAGGAAACTGTAGGCAAAACTGGAAAGAAAATGAGAAACATACAGAAGTTAATATAAAAAACTGCATTATATACCTATCCATCATCCGAGAGAAAAAATTAGGGAAATTAATGTTTTACCTTTGAGTTTTCCCTTGAACCTCCATACCAGCCATACAATGATTCCTAGGAAGATTAACCCCACCACAACAGCTGATATTATCACAACCTTGTTCTTTTTTCCGCCATCACCTGTATTTGAAGACATGGAAGTCATATATGTGATTAGAACCTGACCATCATTAGAAGTTTGTGAGAACTTCTGACAGATTTATATATTTTGTCCTTCTCATCATCTTCATAGACAAGAAAAGTCAACGTATGTTAATGGTTGAGAAATTGGGATGGCTCCCTAAGATGAAAAGATGACGTAGGGAGGAATAAGAAAAAAAGTGAACCAAAGAAGAAGAGAAAGCATCAGCTGATTACCTATGACAATAGTCTGGTACCAGTTGAAGCAGTTTCTCAAGAACCATGCATGAAAAACAGTACTGGTAAATGTAAATCAAAATTGAAATATTTTTTATCAATGGAAACATAATAAAGGGGACACTTTCACCTTACCTAAATCAGAATCAGAGAGGCGGATGTGCAATGTATTTCCTCCATTTCCAAAGTGCTGAACATCAACCAACTCCCCATACCAAACCATGCACCCAATTCCAAGAACTTCTGCATACGCAGTACAAGAAGTATTCTTCAAACAATTGCTCTCACAATCCTCTGTGCCAATAAGATTAACCACACGTGCAAAGTCCGGCAACTTCATACACTTACGCTCCAAGAAACCATCTTCTCCAACATTAACCTGAGCTCCAGAACTAGTATTTCTCTCAGCCTTCAGTGGGGTCATCCTGTCACATCCACTTGACCAGTTTCCCTTAGCCGACTGATCCCTATGCTTTGGTTGAAACCCTTGTATGCAACTACAGATGGGTGAACCTGAAGTGGATAAATCACATGCTGCAAAGCTGCCACACTTGTTATAAACCTCACATTCATTATGAGGCCCTTGCTGTGTCTCAACCCAATGTTTCTCACCTTCATTCCACTTGAACTCCTTTTCATACCCATCCCATCCTACCTGAAACCTAACCTTGTCAGAGCTGTTTAATGGGTTATATATGAAGTATCTATGTCCTTTATCATCCCTATTGAGGGTAAAACCATAGAAATAGTTTCCTGTCATGTATACACCAGTAAACATCCTACCATCCCAGTAACCACTTCTCCATCTCCTTTTCTCTCCGCCCCAAACAACTATCTGGGGTAATCCCTCAGGATCAACCCCCATGGTGTAATTTCCCAGTGAAGGATCAGTTGCTGATTTCCATGAAGTGAAGATATATTTCTTCCCAATTGCACCATTCACAGGCACCTTCATACCAGGTAAATATGTATCAGTTGGGTTCTCAAAGCTTTGCCATACCTCTTTCTCAACGCCACTGCTTGAAAGAACAAGATTGCCATCATCATGAAGCACAGCTTCGGAGTCATTTCTGGTATTGAAAGCATTACTGGACCAAACTTGGTTCTTCCCTCCATCAAGTATAACCAAATTCCCATCCCTTGCAATAGTGATAGCACCTCCTTTGTCTTTGATGGGTTTGTCTCTGTTCGCAACCCATATAACTGCTGGTCCCGGAATGTTGTAGTACCATATCCCAACGTAACGAGAAGAGGAATTGTCCATAGTGAAGAAACCCATCTCGAAATTGAGGCCATCTGATACCAGAGTTTCACCATCTCTGATCAAGTCACCCCGTGTGATCCTGTTCCTGGAAGTTGCTGAACTTGAAAACACAGTATAGAAACAGAGGAAAGAGAACAGAAACACAAAAACTAAGCGTTGGTATGTGGTTATCATGATGAAGGCCATATTAAAATCCCCTAAAGATGGAAATGGAAGCGATAATCATAAAAGAAGAAGAAAAAGAACGAAGAAGAATCAATGTTCAGCGCGCTTTCGGGTGAGATAGTGGGTGTGAGGATGACGTAATGGTGGCCAACCCGAATATTTGTTTGACCTTTTGATGGCAGTGATGGTTGCGACGCCTCGTTTGATTCTAAGAAGACACGTTTCTGTAGCGGTTGTTGAAGACACGGTTCCGAGATTGGAGAATGAGTTGAAAATTGAAACCCAAGTCATAGTCATATGTATTATTAATGGGAAATTTTTTTGGGAAAAGTGTTAATGATACAATTAGGTCATTTTTAATGAAATCATATATATTTTTACATTCTCTTTCTTTTATTTTCTTTTTTTCCTAATTTATAAAAAAGAAAAAATGACAAAACATACTCAAATAACATAATTTCATTAAAAATAACACAAAGTTATGTCATTTAAAAAGATAAATATTTTTTCAAAAAAAGTCATATTAAATTTTTAATCTTATATCATAGTCATATTAAATTTCTAATCTCATGTCATAAATATAATAAGTGTGGGATACTCCTATTTAAAAAAAGGGCTTGGTGTTTGTCATTTTAAATGACATAAGTTATGTCATTTTATGAGAGAGATAGACACAGAAAATAGAAATCATGGGAGAGAGAAAGTGGGTGGTTTTTTTAATTTAAAATTTAAATAAAAAAATTTATTCTGTGTCTATCTCTCTCTTAAAATGACATAATTTTATGTCATTTAAAATGAAAAATATTTTTCTCTTAAAAAAAATGGCATACCTTTTTATGGTATCTATTGAAAGGGTTTATTTTTTCCTAAAACATGAGGAAAAAAAATCGCATTAGTAATAGGGTTTATTGTTTCTACACATATATAATAAAATTGTATGAGACTCGTATTTTCTCTTTTTTTTTATTCTCTTTATTCTTCTCATAAAAATGTACCTCACATATTTTTATGAATGTGTAGAAAATTGTTCCGGGTTGGTCATATGGGCTTAAGCAAGCCCTAATAAAGCCCAAATCAGAGTTATGATAACTGGGTAAGAGATGTCATTCATGCACGGAACCTGTACAAAGAGCCCAAAATGTGTTTACTACCTGGACATTAGTGGCATAAAGGAACCCTACCACAATCTCAATAATGAATTACCAATAAATGTCCACCACTATTCTAACCGTTTATTATAGTATATATAAGAGGGAAAAATCCAATAACAGACACACAAGATATTAACCCATTAATGTTCGTCCAGAACAGAAATAAAATTTATTTATTATGATACGAGAAATATTAAACTCTTATTAATATTAGGAAAAATTATTTGTCTGGATAATGATTTTAGTTAAAATTATCATTTTTATTTAATATTTAAATTAAAAAAATCACTTTCTTTCATAATTACTCTGTTTTTGCCAAAAACTAAGAAAAGTTTTATGGCTGATATTATGACTAATCATTGACTTAATAAAATTTCAACCATAGAGAAGACACCGTGGGAAGTTTCCGCGCTCCTCGTGATTCACGTTATTGTGTGTTATCTTAAATTTCAACCATTTTTCTCCCCTTTTCTTGTCTTTAGTAAGATTGTCTTTTCGCTAGGATTCTAATTCATACTTATATAAGTTAACAATTAGTGCACATTTATTAAAAAATATATGTTTTTACAACAACATAATGTTTTGTATATATAACTGTTAATACTAGCCCATGTTTGGACTCAATTATTTTATAAAATAGTAACAATTCTTTTAAGGTTCATGTAAAAAGATCTTAGTTATAAAAACTATAAATACATTATTTATGGGAAAAACATCTATCCTTTTAAAGGATAGAATCTTATATCATTTTAGATTCTAACTGTTGATTTCCGTCCATCAACAGTTATAATCTACTGGGTCAAATTTAATGGGCCAATTTTATTATTAATTAATTAATAATTTTGATTCAATAAATTATAACCGTTAATGAACAGAAATCAACGGTTATGATCTAAAATGATATAAGCTTACATCTTTAAACTTATATCCTTTAAAATGACAGATGTTATTCCCGTTATTTATACATTCAAACACCTTTTTCTTTCTTTAAATTAAAAGAGAGAAAGTAAGTATTAGGAGGTATATTTTTCTTTTTCTTTTTGTTTTTGAAAAAAGAAAGTTTTTGAGTTTGGTAAAGCAATAGCAAAAATTTAAGGGTATACACAATTTTAAAAAATTAATAAATATTATAATCAACTTTTTATTTTTATTTCTTTGGTAAATTATGACCGACTTTATTGATACAAAAATTCCTAACTGTATATAATGAAAAAAACTCCTCCTATTTCTATTTCCATTTCATCACCAAATTTTAATTTTAACATTTATTTTTTAAATACATATAATTTCATAGATTTTTTATGCAACTTTTCAATTAATTCTCTATTTATAATTAGGAATGATTATACTTACCACCCTTGCTACCTTTTGGTTACCGTCAGATAATTATTTGAAATCAACAGAGGTTAAATTTTTTTTTATCAATTGTTTATTTCAAATTGATCTAATATTAACCAATTAAATAATAAGAATGATAAGTCCAAAATAGTGGTAACTGGTAAGTATAACTACTTCCTTTATAATTATATAATGAGTAAATACTTTTTTGAATTCTCAATAAAAAAACACGAAACTCATTTTAACCTCATAGGAAAAAAAAATCGATTTGTGATTCTTCTGAAATTTCAGTTATTTAAAATTGTGATTCTTCAGAAATTCAAAGAAGACTTGTATTAGTCCCTCAAAAAAGATTAAAATAGATATTTTTTTCTAATGTATTAAAATGGGTTTCGTGTTTTTTTTTTTTTGAAAATTACTCTTATATAATTTAGTAATTAAGTCCACTTCACGTGCAACATGAACCCAAAATAACATGCAGATAACGACAAATATCAATTAACGAAGTTTGAACGATTGTAAGCTAGTAAAACTTATTTAATTTTTTAAATTATAAATATTTTGCTAAAAAAATTTAAAGTATAAGAAATTATTTAAAAATTCATCATATACATTTACCTATTAATTTATCCAATTTCAATTTATATAATCATTAAACAATTTTAACTTTATTTTTAAAACTCTTATTTTTATCTTTTAACTTGAAAATGTGTTTAATATAGTCTTCCAACCTCATCCCCTCACAGGATCCGGAAACATTCTGTCTTGATATCATATTTCTCTTTAAGTGCAAAATTCCCACAATATCTCGAGACAGGCTTGTGATGACTTAAATTATATAAATAAGTCATCACAGAATGATATCAAGACAAACATGGAGAAGCATCTGAAGTTATGTTAATGTGCACTTTTGGTTGTAAGTTATTGAGAAGCATCTGAAGTAATTATTGTGCTGAAGACAAACATGGATTTTCCCTACAAATTGAAAGTTGAACATTCGTTATTGCCATTAATGTTAGCTAAGTCATCATTTCAAAGACTAGACGAAAAATATCGGCATGCTTATATTAACAAATTGTTGACCTGAGAAGTGAGAATGATGTTACAACTTACAACCCATATCATTCAACACCGGCCTTACTGTAGGCCTAGGAATTGGACCTAAATCCATTCATTTCGTGCAGCCTGATTTGTTATGGCCTTTCACACCGCTTAAGGAACATGACGTTCTACAACCCTTTTTGCTTCTTGGCTAATCCGATTCTTATGTACAATCACAAGGCATCAAGAATAAACAAAACGCTTGCCATCTCTCTCAAGTGTAAACTCTAAAATGAAAGTTTTACCAGTATTGCTGGCGATCAACAATTGCTGTAAGAATTGATTGCTAGATATGGATCACACGCGTAATAGTTGTGTTCTTAAATTTTATGGTACTAGCGCATCGTGTATGTAAGAAAGTAAAAAAAAAAAAAAAAAATTAATTTTGCTTTTTGTCATTATTTTGTTTTACACTATTAATTATTGGACATTTGTGATATATTTCATGGGGTCGTTTTGTCTGTAGTCAGTGTAGATAATTTATTAATATTGAGTCCAAAATAATTTTATTTTAGGACGAAATTCAAAGTATTTTTATAATTCTAATTTATTTCAGAATTATAATAATCTTTTTTATTATATGTTTTTAATTTTAATCCAAAACAACATTATTTTGAAAATAAATATAGATAACTTATTTATTTTCATTTTAGAAACATTAAAGTCATATTTCATATAAAAACTTATCAAATAACATTATTAAAAGTAAAACAAAAACTTGACAGAGAATACTCTCACTTACAAGAGCACAAAGGGTATTATATAATATTAGACAAATATAAGTGTCATGTTCACGGGAAGTCACAATAATAACCAAAATCTAAGTTATCTCTATATTAATTTAGAAAATGAAAATATTTTATTTTATTTTTTCTTATTTACCTAAAAATTTAAATTACTCAATCAACCAAAAATCAGATTGAATAATTAATTTATGAGAAATCATACTCTTACGTTGCATAAGATGGATCTTTCATGTCACTCTCAATGTGCCTCTCTTTTTTTTTTTTTTCTTTTTTTTTTTAAAAGTTGGTAGAGCCCACTTTATTTATCTCTTGATACGAGAAAACTTCTCTCATGCTACGTGATAGAAGTAATCCCGATTCAAATTAAAAATAAAACCAATCACAATAGCATGAGAGAATTAGCATTCAGCTAGCTTCTGATTTTAAACAACATTCACAGGTCCACAGGCGCACTAGAAGGATTAAAACAAGGCCTCATAGGTCAAACGTATTCAAACAAATGATGAAGGCATTCAGGACACCAGTAACTTGGAAACTCAAACATCTAACAAATTCAAGAAAATTTATGTATCACAATGGAACCAAATGAACAAAGCAGTCAAATATGCTTGTACAAAGTACAACAGCAAATTACAAACAAAACAGAACAAAAACTACCTCTCCGCTCTTCCAATTTTCTCTCAAT